GGTCTATATATATAAATAGAATTATTAATATCTACATATGAATATATAATTATATATATATACATGTCTGTGTGTGTGTATGTGTGTGTGATCGTTCATGTATGTATATATATGTATGTAGGTATATATATATATATACATATATATATATATATATATATGTGTGTGTGTGTGTGTGTGTGTGTGTGTGTGTGTGTGTTATATATATATGGATATGCTGCCAATCAAATGTATCGCAAACATACGCGTGTGGACTACTTTGTCTTAGCCTATAGCCTACCTGCATCGTCACTGTTTTGCATCAGCTCTCTATATATGGTATACTCTGCCGAATATCTAGCCAGAATTTTATCGATCAGATGCCGCTGGTTGACTTCTACTTTCTCCTCCTTCCCTTCCAACAGCACATGCTGTTTGATGTCATCGTACTTCCCCATACGAATCCCCTGCACGCCTTAGCTTGGTCTACGTATGATATAGGATTGATTACTTGTGCAGAACGTAATTGTATTGTATTTGAGGTTTGAGATACCTTCTTCTAATCACAAGATCAAAATTGAACACCAATAATACAAATACAGATGCGCGATCCGGGCTTATTCCTTCTTCTGGTGACTGAAGAGACCACTAAATACATATTTACGACTACTACATCGAGAGACTAGAAACTCTAGAAAGTGATGATTATTTTTAAGTTTTAAGAGCAAACCCTAAAATCGATTACTCATCGGAATCATTATCGCAGAAATCTATACATTCATGTCTTCTTCGTTACAACTTGAGGCGTATATATTTACTTATGTACAGTATATAGAGTATGTTTAGAACCAAAGCCAAACCCATATGGATTGTGTATTTATGTGACAAGGTGTTTTCAAAACAGTGTGGTGACTGCACATTGTATGCAAGTTTAGTTAAGCAAATACTTTCGATTATGACGGACGACGGGATGTAGGTTTTGTACAAAGTTAAAAAGCAATTACAATTGTGATACTTTTAATAAATTAATAAATGTTCAGTAAAAGACCTAATAGTTTTTTAATCATATATAATATGAATAGAACAAAACAAGGAGGACAACAAGAATCTCTCGATGCCTCTAGTATCGATACAACATTTCATTAAGCTTTTGATTCATGTTCAGTCACTCAACAAACATTTAGATACATTGTGATACCTCGGAGAGTACCTCGATTGGACATGCATATATTTCAAGGAGTGAATGTAGATTCCTGTGGTATAAGATTAACACGGTGTCCATGATCACTCGACAGGTTAGACCTTTTATCTACTCATGAGCATAACATATACTGCCGGTGGTAAAGTGTACACCCTCTGCGAATCCACGTGTCGTTACAAGTCAAACCTGTTCCTTATATTTTTTATTTCAATACCCCTTTCAGAAAATCTGGATCAAGTTGACTACTACTCTACTACCAGTAAATATCAGTTCTGTGATTGTGCATAATATCATGAACAAATTCAGTTGACGATACGTGACAGGAATAGCAGTACCTCTTGTATTCTTGTTCTTGGTATCAAAATATGACCATCTCGGGGCATCTCCAGTTCTCCACAAGTAAAAATATATTTAAAAAAAATTGGGACTATCAATCTGTGTCCCGACTCCAGTCCAGTGACCAGCCCACACTCACAGCCGCCACAGTCCACGACTCTACACTGTCTACACTCTACAGTCTATACACTCTATTGTCGAACACTCTATTTTACAGTCCAATTTTTTTTTCTAAAGTGTACATAAAAATACTGCATGTAACGTTCTTTTTTTTTTCAACAAAAATAACAAAACAAAATAAATAATAAAACAGGTTGAAGTCTGATGTTTTTTATTAGAAGAAGGCTATGAGTCAGACTGTCAGAGTGACACTTGGACTCCTGTTGGCTTTTGAATTTGCAGCCATGCTCCCTCATGTATTTTTTTTAAATTATTCATTTTGCTTTTGTTTTTTTGGGGTTTTATTTCTTTCAATTTTATTTTTAACCGCTGACGTCAGACAGCTACTGTATGTACTACTCTGCCGCGGAGGTTGAAAATATTTTCTAAAAATATACTAGGCAAATTCATCAGTCAATCAGTCATGGCAAAAAAATAATTTACTGGATGGCCCAAGTCCCGTGATGGTATCGTCCCAGAGAGAGAGAGAAGTCCCCCTCGCCTATATGATTTTATTCCCAAAAAGGAATCTTTTTTATACTAAAACCGGTGATCGCTGTTTCGTTTCTCGTTACTAGGGAATTTACGACAACGAAGTTGCTTGGTAGCATATATTTAAAAACAATGTTTTAAACATGTGATCAAAAATGTGTTTTATTCGATTTCTCCCGGGGAACTCGAGACTACGTATGGGATTTTTCGACATCTCGCGAATAAAACACAACCATAGCCTGTCCCTCAAAAGTTAGTAGCCATCCAGTTGTACGTCGTTGAGAGGCGCGAGCTCTAATTAAATCATCATATCAACAAACATCAGATGATCAGACGGCTGACCCCCCTATTATTATCAATATTTTGAACTGGTGTGCTAAAATCATACACCTGTGGGCTGTGGCTGTGTGGCATCTGTGCACTTGAATTACTCGAAGCGAGTCGAGCACGTTAGATTCATGCACGCATGCACACGAAAGCACACGCGTGAGGGTAGCGTATGAGAGCGCATGCATAGTCATAGTCACTCACTTACCCACGCATAGATTTTATATCGGAATTCAGAAGGTGGTCCCTTCCGAACTTCTGCGCAATAAGGCCACTAACCGTGACAGCCTATTTTTATATAAGCACCTTATAATAGTATATATATGATCAACACCTTTACTCAAACTTTTAAAATTAGGTCCGACTTAGATATTTTTATTTATTTATATATCTAAAGAAGGAGCTGTAATCAGGACACAGCCAATATGAACACAACTGATGCAAAATTTGTCCTGGGGGGAGTGTGTGGACTACTTATCATTATCTGCGTGCTCCTGAACCGGAGATTAATATTCAAACGAGGCGAGAAAAGCATCGGTCCAGGTTTGGTGGTACGTTAATAAACATATTTAAATATATATATATATATATATGTAATATATATATAGTAGTATATAGTATATATATATATATATATATATATATATATATATAAATATATATATTATATATATATATATGTGTGTGTGTGTGTATATATAAATATATATATATATGTATATATATATATATATATATTACATAGACAAACTCGTGTATTTTTTTATTCAACCTATTCTCTATGGCCTTGCATACATGATCAGAGTTGTACTTACAGTCGTTTCCTCTGCATCTATTGTATCAGATTTGCATGCTGGTGGGCATGTCTACGGACAATCTTAGTGTTTATGACAATGCACATGGTACATATATATGCTCTATACGTGCACATGCACATATTCATATACTTGCACATACACATATTCATATACTATATATATTCATGTACTTGCACATACACATAAACATACATGTGTCATTTTGTACTATCGCATGTACACTTTTAGTAAGCAATCGACACCTACACACAAGCACATGCGCAATCACTCACCCACACGTCCACACAAACGTACACACGCACGCATACAAGCCACATACACTCGTACGCACATGCTTCCACATCCACAGTCGCATACACACACATATATACCCACACGCACAGAACACTCATACACATACACGCGTTGAAACATACGCCCACACACATATGCTTTCATGTTCACAGGCACACGCACGCACGCACACACAAAATGCTTTTCACAATCATACTCACACTTGCATTGACACATACGCCCACAGGCGAGGGAGACAACGGAGAAGACTCTGTTGCCACCCACCGCACCGGATGTCGATCCCAAAGACGATAAGCCTCTCCCACCAAAGCCGCCTACTATCAAAAGGTAAGTGACTATTAACAAAGGCCTGCGACTAATATCAAAATAAGTTATATACAAGCATATATATAAGTTATATACAAGCATATATACATAAATATAAAAGGAAGTTATATAGACATGCATAGATATTAGTCATATTTACAAAAGTCATATATACAGGCCTAATTAAGTCATATATTCAAGCATATGTATGTTTTTATAAGTTATATATACAAGAATATATGTATGTTAAATGGACAAGAATGTATAAGTCACAGCTCAAAGGATGTATAAGTCACAAATACGAGGATATGTAAGTTATATATACAAGGATATGTAAGTTTTATATACAAGGATATGAAAGTTATATATACACGGATATGTAAATTTTATATACAAGGACATGTAAGTTGTTCATACAAGGATATGTAAGTTATACATACAAGAATATATAAGTTATGTATACAAGGATATATAAGTTATATATACAAGGATATGTAAGTTATATATACAAGGATATGTAAGTTATATATACAAGAATATGTAAGTTATATATACAAGGATATGTTAGTTATATATACAAGGATACATATGTTTTGCCCCTGTACTATTACCCGCACACTCTCGTCGTGCACTACTCGCCTTCTAATTGTCACTTTTGTGTGATAAATGCATATGCACGCATGTATACACTCTGTCACGTACGTATGTTCTGTGGCGCAGACGGTGTTGTCTGTTGATGCATGCACGGACATACAAACCTTTGCACATCCACTCGTATATGGCCTGTTGTATGTGGTAAACAATCCAAACACTTCTCATCCATTCACCCATGCATGTACTACAGCACAACACAGCTCCAGTCACTCGTGTGTGCACAGGATGCATCGCTTCTCTGATCGAAGGCCTCAGGCTTGTTTTGTGTCACCACTCAACTTGCTTTGATTATGCATAGACACAGTTTACGTGCTTCTTTCATCAACACCTCATGGCATCATTTGTTGGTTGTGTCACCCCACAGCTTACTTTGATTATGCATAGACACAGTTCACGTGCTTCTTTCACCTACACCTCATCGCATCATTTGTTGCACGGTGCAGCTTCGCGTATTATCTCGGCACGGACTCCCCGCAGATCAGAGATGAGCTCAACAAGAAAGTGGACATGGTTATTGTACGCGGCCCAGGAAAAATCAGTGGATCAAGGGTACGTACGTCTAACAACTGTGGGTGGGATATGTGGAGAGAGAGCAGGGGTTGTAGCACGTACTTGACAGCTCAACTAGGGCGAGATAAGAGAAATGTATATATATATATATATAATACTAGTGTTTATGCGAGTTTCAGATACGTCTCTATATCAGTGTCGGTAGATTGCCAGTATGCCCTGTAAGTTATATACCTAGACTTCTAGTAAGGCCCGTGCCTACAACCTGCTGGGTTTTAGGCTTTGTGGTCTCGAGGACAATACTTCCAGGTTTCGGGACAATCGCACCATACACTCACTGTCTCCGGTCAGCAGCTAACCAGGCTCGGGTTTTGGGACAATCGAGTTTTTGAGCATAAAGCTGTCTATACGTTCATATACACGCCATATAATACTACCCACACAGACCCAAATACACACACACACTACAAGTGCACAGGCACCGCAACAGGCGACTGTACGTGCTGGCGTTGTTATGCCGTCGTGAAACTCACACATCTCATTGCGTGCGTGAGTGCGTTGCTCACTCACTCACACGTATCTCCATCCGTTGGTGTGTTGTCTGGTTGTTCTCTTGCAGAGCTCCTCCACTGATGAGAAACCCTCGAGTGAACTCGGCATGCTCCCGGTAAGTCGTGTTAAGCACTTGCCCCGCGACTGTGTGTCTGAGTTGGAGTCCAATTAGATCCGCTATGTGTGTGACATAATGTCGTATGATCGTACGACATTTGTCATACACCTGTACGTTGCGGTTTCCCGACTGTTTCCTGTGACATGTGTCTGTGGGTAAGGGTAATGTTTGAATCGACCACCTGTGTTATATTATTACGTCGTGTTGTCCTACAGCCAGACGGTTACATACGATAAAACAGGTATACTTTTAGTTAACGGTATCTGCACTTATGTTTGTTACGTCTATATATATATATACATATATATTGTGTATGTATGTATGTATGTATGTATGTACGTATATATGAGTGTATGTATCTATATATATATATGATGTAGGTATATATGTATATATATATATATAAATATATATGTATATATATATATATGTATGTGTGTGTGTGTGTGTGTGTTTATGTATGTATGTATGTATATGAAGTTGGTGTATATATATATATATGCAAGTAGAGGGATCTAGTGGTCTAGTTGCTGGTACGCTTGTGTGGGCTACAAGGTACAGACCTGAATAGACTCTTCTGTGTTGTGACGCGATGGTTGGTTGGTTGGTTGGTTGCACACTACCATCCCTATGATATTGTTCCGGTGGGGCCGATTATAGTGGGAAAATAGTTCAGTGTCGAATATTAGTGGCTTGTCCATGAGGCCTACACATGCACGGCACTTGTCAACTGGGACTAAATCGCATTCACTGCGCAATGCTGTACACCTGACGACTGCCGTATGTGTTTGTAGTCTGACGGGGCCGAGTCACAGCCTAGAACTAATTCTAGTGCGAGATTTAGTGCGAAGCCATTAATTGAGTGTACGCACACACAGGAAGGTCCTGCAGGTAAACTAATTCTCAATTACGAATACACACTTTATTTCGCAGGATGGGAACCTGGTGATGCTGGATAGGTCTACTGTGGTGGAAGACGACAACATGATGTCCTTTCCGAACATCGTGCAGAGCAAACCTAAGGAGAGGGAAAGTATGTAACAGGCGCACTCGCACACATAGGCACATGCACACAATAGGTCTGAAGCAAACACATACACATACACACAGGTATATTAAAGCACGTGCACACAATAGGTCTGAAGCAAACACATACACATATACACACAGGTATATTAATGCACACACACACACCCAGATACATTCAGACATACGCCTGGGTATGATTAGGCACAAACCCCTACACACGCACAACACTGTATACTGCAAGACATACTCACGCGTAAGCACATGAACGCTTGACGTATCTCGGAGCGTATGCACACACGTAAGCTCATAGATGCATTCAGTACTCCAGAACACACAATCACTCACATGCGTACACACACCCTCTAAGTGCTTCACAGCACATACACGCACGCGCCACGCATGTGCGAATATATAAATGTATATGTATGTATGTATGTATGTATGTATATATATATATGTGTGTGTGTATATACATATATATATATATGTGTGTATATACATATATATATATATATATATATATATTCATGTGAGAGCATACCTCTGTATAATTCAGCCATATATTTCTTATCCTTGGCACTGCTTCTTACTCACTGTCACACTAATTCACTCACTCACTCCCGCCCGCAGATGATGTGGATACCATGTTCATTGTGCTGGTTGATCTGATCTCGTTGTCTGCGGAGGAGAAGACAGGCTACGAGAAGCGCTTCAGGAAGAGGCTGTCGGATTTTTTGAGTAAAACGGGCTCGAACAACTATCAGGTAGGTGGTGTGTAATAATGTTCATGCTCACTCTGCAGAAAGGAACTATCTCTAGTGGACCTCTATCATCTCAATCTCTGAGCTGTAGGCGCCTTCTCATCTGCGAGTGTGCGTGTAGCTGTATGCCATTAGGAGGCTCTCTCTCCCCTACAAACACACGCGTTCTGAACGAATTCTAACCTAGTCACCGTTGTCTCTGCAGGGTGTTGTCTTTGGCGGGATCAACGCGTGCACAGGCATTCTGGGTGTGCAGATGGTGGCTAAGCTCATCCAGTCTGCTAAGCTGCAGTTCCCACAGCACCTGTTCTTCATGGAAGAGGGTGGCTTGGTGTTTGACCACGTGTCAGACTTCGTCAACGGTAGGTAGAATATGCCTATTTATGGATATCTATTTATAGATGTTTATTTACAGAACGTGTACTCCAAGACCGTGTAGTCGGATACGTAGTTATGGGCATGCTATACTGTAGGTAGTATGACACACAAAACACACGCCTCGAAACTGCACAACGACTGCCACAGCCACACATACATGCGCACACATATCCACACGTACACATACAGCCACAGCCACACATACATACGCACACACAGCCACACGTACACACAAAACACACGGCCGCGCCTGCATGAACCAGACCCCACAGTCAACCAGGCTCTAGAGAGTCTACTACAGATCTCTCTCGCGAGTGAGAGCGAGAGAGAGGGGTGTAGGTGCTGTTCTGTGGTGGAGGGTAGATAGGCACATGGGGACTCTGGGCTGAGAGCATAGGCAACCCTAACCTTACAGCAACACACACTCACATGCACGCTTGTGTGTCTAGTTCAGTGTCTGTCTATGTTGATTGCTGATTGTTGATTCTATGTCGCGATAGGAGACCGGGGTGTTTATAGACTGTACTGTGTGTATGCTCAGGGATAGGCACCCCACACATTTACACACACAACAACACTGATCACATACAAATACTATCTGTCTACTATACCCCTAAATACAAATCATAAACCAAAACCCTAAACCCTAAAACACACACCCACACACCCTCCCACAGGCGTTATCCTTCTGAACCCAACGCTGGATCCCAGTGGCAAGCTACGTGTGCGTCTGTACGACAAAGAGACGGAGACCTACAACCAGTTTGTAGCCAAGCTCAACACAGAGATCGCCATCCGCACAGACTTCTTTACGCTCGCGTGTGAGGCTGTGAGAGTGCCGCCGCCTGCGGAGTTGGTGGCGAACTTTGTGTCGTTTACGGAGGGTATGTGGGGGGATGTATGGACAGACTGTAGGACAAGTGTTGAAATGTGTAAAAGGGGTGATATGAGGGGTGATTAACATGTTTATAAGGGGTGGTTAATATATGTATAAGGATAAGGGGTGATTAACATATGTATAAGGGGTGATATGAGGGGTGATTAACACATGTATATGGGGTGATATAAGGGGTGATTAACATATTTATAAGGGGTGATATGAGGGGGGATTAACATGTGTATAAGAGGTGGTTAATATATGTATAAGGATAAGGGGTGATATGAGGGATGATTAACATGTGTATAAGGGGTGGTTAATATGTGTATAAGGATAAGGGGTAATTGACATATGTAGAAGGGGTGATTAAAATTTGTAGGCTAGTAACCTTATTAGGTAGCGCTTCTTTTGGTGACGTTGTTTCCGAGGTACATTGATATGGTGCTAGTGGCACAGTACACACCATTGTTACTCCGTTATATTTATATACTACTCCCACCTGACTCCTCGCATAAATACAACCCTAACATTGTTCAGGGCTTGGGTTTGTGGGATGGATGACAACTGACGTCACCATGCAGAACACCAATCAAGTGCGTCCGTTGGCTCTGGATCTGATGCCCGGAGGTCTCCTTGGTAGGTATCCCTCGACCGATGTGCTATAAATAGAACACCCGCTCATCAGGCAATCGATTAATCACATGCACTAGTTTTTATTGACACCATATCTTCATCAGTCTTTTGTGTATGCTTTCGTGCCCCGTCAGTAGCAGTTTATGAATTATATATATTATACATATTGAATGGCTCTCATCTAACCTCTGCTTATTTTCCGATGTCCCGTTGGCTCTCGTTTAATTTCTGCGTATTTGTCGATATATCATTGGCTCTCATTTAACCTCCGCGTACCTGGCACATTGAACCCCCACGTTCAGGATTGATCGACATCTCGGCTGTGGTCAGTTGCTGTAAGGCAGTGGCGGCTGTGACTAAACAACACTCTCTGGTGCTACAGGATAGCGTGCCGTCACAGGACTGGGATACCTTTCTCCAAGAGGTATGTTCGTATGCACATGTCTGTGTGGTTTGGTCTACACATGATGCTCATGTATGTATCATATACATCCGGATGTCTGTGTATGTGTATGGGTGTTTATGCTCATGTATGTATCATATACATCCGGATGTCTGTTTGTGTATATGGGTGTTTATGCTCATGTATGTATCACATACATCCGGATGCCTGTGTATGTCTGTGTATGTATATGGGTGTTTATGCTCATGTATGTATCATAACCCTTATGCTCATGTATGTATCATATACATCCGGATGTCTGTGTATGTCTGTATATATGTATGGGTGTTTATGCTCATGTATGTATCATATACATCCGGATGTCTGTGTATGTATATGGGTGTTTAAGCTCATGTATGTATCATATACATCCGGAAGCCTGTGTATGTCTGTGTATACGTATGGGTGCTTATGATCATGTATGTATCATATACATCCGGATGTCTGTGTATGTCTGTGTCTGTGTATGGGTGTTTATGCTCATGTATGTATCATATACATTCGGATGTCTGTGTATGTCTGTGTGTGTGTTTGGGTGTTTATGCTCATGTATGTCAGTGTATGTCTGTGTGTGTGTATGGGTGTTTATGCTCATGTATGTATCACATACATCCGGATGTCTGCATAAGTGTATGTCTGCGTATGTGTATGGGTGTTTATGCTCATGTATGTATCATATACATCCGGATGTCTGTGTATGTCTGTGTTTGTGTATGGGTGTTTATGCTCATGTATGTATCATATACATTCGGATGTATGTGTATGGCTGTGTATGTGTATGGGTGTTTATGCTCATGTATGTATCATATACATTCGGATGTATGTGTATGGCTGTGTATGTGTATGGCTGTTTATGCTCATGTATGTATCATATACATCCGGATGTCTGCATAAGTGTATGTCTGCGTATGTGTATGGGTGTTTATGCTCATGTATGTATCATATACATTCGGATGTCTGTGTATGGGTGTTTATGCCCATGTATGTATCATATACTGTATATGTTTGAGTGTTTATGCACATGTATGTCTGTGTATGTGTATGGGTGTTTATGCTCATGTATGTATCATATACATTCGGATGTCTGTGTATGTGTTTGGGTGTTTATGCTCATGTATGTCTGTGTATGTGAATGGGTGTTTATGCTCATGTAAGTATCATATACATTCGGATGTCTGTGTATGTGTATGGGTGATTGCTCATGTATGTATCATATACAAACGGATGTCTGCATAAGTGTATGTCTGTGTATGTGTACGGGTAAGTTCCTGTGCTTTGCTCGCGACGTAACCACTATCACACGCTGGTGCAGTAGCATGACTTTCACTTTCACGTCTGCGATGCCTAAGCAGACCTGTGTGCGTATGTGTGTGTATTTGGTTACGAATCTTCTAATATGCATATGTATATTCGTTTGGCTACTAATCTTCTTATATGCATATCATATCGAGGTCAACTACACACCCCACTCACCTGCATTCGCCTTCACCTTCGCATTCGTTTTGAACTCCTCTTTATTTGGCCACTATGCAGTTGGGCATGGACGATGTGATTGAGGACTACTGCCCCGAGATCAAGTTCATTGACCCGGATGTGTGGAGGCTGGATAACGACATGCGCAAAGTGGACAGTCGGTCCTTTCAGCTTGCACTTGCACCTGTAGATCCGGACTTTCGAGACTGGCCAAGCAATGAGTGCCGAGGTCAACGTCCTGTCGGTGGTATGTGTTGTGTGGGTGCATCGATGTGTATGTAGACTATATGTCTGTATGTCTGTACATACGGGTGAGCTTATACGGAGCTATTGGTATCGGATATAGTACTTGTGACAGTAATAGTATTGTTGTATATGAAGTGTCTGAGGGGTGTATGCGTGCGCATCTGTACGCGTACGGGAGTGCTTCTAAACTGAGACGGGACCTGTTTCCGTTGCACAGTAGGTCGTCGGTGCCTCTCGTCTTCAACCGAGTGCGCAGTAGCACGTGTGTACATGTATTCACCTACGTCAAGTGGTTATACCTGGTGTGAGTGTATGTGTCTTCATATGACTAGCGTCGAGGTGCATTCGACTATCACAGACACGTGTGCTGCCAAGTATACTCATGAACCATCCTTCCTCCGTGTGGTTTCACGTATCAAGTGCCATCCATACATCCCCCTCACTCACTCACTCACCCCACCCTACCTGTCTCCGTGCACACACACACACACCACAGAATGGGCGCATGACTTCAAACACGAGGACCGTATCCTGGCGTCGCTGAGTTTCCTGCAAGGAGAAGGCCATCTCAAGAACATTGCGGATGTTATTAAGCTGGAGGTAGTGCCTGAGTCATTCGACCAGTTTGAAAACAACGTCGTCGATGCGACAGAACCCTCCTTTGACGAGGTGAGTATCTCAGAATAACTACCCACCCAAAGGGTGAATAGAATAGCCTGTACCCATCTAGGTAGAAAGAAGATATGTATCTGTATATAAAAGTATGAACGTATGTATATATGTATGTACGTATATATATATATATGCATATACATACGCACACACTCACACCCCCAACCCACTCACCCACCACCCGGCAGCTAATCTCTACCCTGGCTGGGCTGCTAGAAGAACCTACGCCCAGTGCACAGAGTTATCTGCGCATGTGCAGCCAAACAGCAGTGCAGGAGCTGCATGTGCTTAAGGCTGGCCTCATGCGCAAGGTCATTAAGGTGTTCACAGCCGATAAGACGGTGTTCTTCTACCAGAACAATGCGGAGGATAATATAAGTATGTGTTTGTGGTGGTATGTGTGTAGGCGATAGATATAGGTGTGTGTGTGTGTAGTATACATGTAGGAGAGAAGTGTAGGTATGTGTGGGTGTAGCATGTTTGTAGGAGAGAGGTATAGGTGCGTATGTTGTAGTATGTATGTGGGAGATAGGTATAGGTGTGTGTGTGTGTAGCATGTATGTACCAGGGCACCAACGAGACTATTATACGTTTGCTTTGTTATATAATACTCTTATTCGTACGCATATATCCACATACATGTAGCACCACATACAACCCCTCACACTAACGCACATATGTAAACACTCACACTCCACACATATGTACACACTCGCACTTCACACATATGTGCACATTCACATGTCGTAGCACGGTATCCCATACACCTCTCACACTCCCCCACACCTGTGCCCATTCTCTAACAGACTCTCTGAGCATTGAGCAACAAATCGCTCACCAGTGGGAACGGGCCAGCCGATTCATGGCAATGTACGAAGACGCAGACCGTCTACTCAACATCTACGTAGCCTCAGACCACCCTAGTGTAGCCGAAGCCACGCTGCACTGCTACATGAAGTACAAGGGCTTTTCCCAGAGCGAGTGTGTGATAATGGAACATCTCATCGAGGCCCAGGCTAACCCGCGCACGGGCGGTGACTTGACGGTCAAGCCACGCCGCGTAGGATGGGAGTTGGCGAATGTAAGGATGGGGATAGGGATAGGGATACAGATATGTTGTATATGGAACGTATCTTGAACATATATAGAACGTATCTTGAACATATATGGATCGTATATTGAACGTATATAGAAAGTATATGGATCGTATATTGAACATATTTGGATCGTATATTGGACGTATATTGAACTACATGCAACGTATATGGAACGTTTTTGGAAAGTATATGGTCTGAATGTATATGCGTGCTTGTTGGGTCGAGTCTTCGCGTGCATGCGGGCTAGACACGTGTGTATCTCTATCTATTCATGCAGATGATATATTCATCTGAGGATACGGATAATATAACGTACATGTAGTAGGTAGTATATTTGTGTCCACGTGACTATCTACCAAGTGTACTGAACATAACGTTAAGATACAGATAATATAACGTACATGTAGTACGTGGTATATCTGTGTCCACGTGACTATCTACCAAGTGTACTGAATATAACGCTAAGATACAGATAAAATAACGCACATGTAGTTAATATAACGTTCATATAGTACGTAGTATATCTGTGTCCACGTGACTATCTACCAAATGTACTGATACATGTGTGCAGCCGCCGGTTGACCGCGTGCGCTACATCCATGTCCATAAATCGGACACCCTTTTCTTTGCCAGCTATCCAGAAACACCGACACAAACACACTCACTCGTATACCTGTACACTTACACAACACACTCACCCACACCGAGACGGCGGGCTGACATGTGTATGTATTGCATTGCTTTACCTTACTTAAACCCCCCAAACCCCTAAAACCCTAGGCACCCCGAGAAGAGTTGATTGAACTAACACTCAACACAAACGTAACCCAACGACGCATCCGTGAACGGCGTGAGCTGTCAGACGCCCAACGCGAAGTGCTGTTTCAGTTGTGCGAGTACATTGCGGTGGTGTCACGTGTGCGCTTGATCGACGAGGTCAGTGCCACCAGCCGAAGTATTGCGGAAGTCAAGGTGTGTGTGTGTTTACGTATGCAAGTGTATGCGGATATGTATATGTATATTTATGTATATATATATATATTCGCATATATTGTCTCAGCCGTGGATGCACATGGCTGTGGTGTCACGTGTGCACTTAATCGACGAAGTTGGTGCCACCAGCCATAGTCTCAAAACCATTGATATATGTGTATTATTGGCATTTCCCCGCCCCCCCCACACACACACATATATACATACCTGGATACTGTACATTCATTCTCAACTATAGAACCCGAACCTCCTTACTTTCACACACATGTTCCCACTCTCACACACATGTTCCCACTCTCACACACACACACACACCCTCACTCAGCATCCGCGACTCTTCACCCCTCACCCCTACAGGCTTTGCTGCATGAGCCTAAGTCGGATGTGTTGCGTGAGATGTGTAACATGGTGTCGTCTGCCACAGTCAACGCAGACGCACGGCAGTCGTTTGTTGAGCTGTGCACTGCTTTGGATGAATATGTGAAGAAAAACACAGGCAGCTCAGAGAAGGAGGCCAAAGCAGTCACTAAGATACGCTACTTCTACCGGTAGGTGCATGGCCTATGCTACAGTTTATGTACGTGTAGATGTTGTTTTACGAATATGTGTGTATGTATGTATGTATGTATGTATGTATGTATGTATATGCACATATACATGTAGATGTCTATATATTTGTATATTTACATCCCCATTTGCCCTTCCTTACCACATGTTTTACGAATATAGGTGTCTGTATGTATATAGGTATGTATGTATGTGTATATGTACATATACATGTAGATGTCTATATATTTGTATATTTACATCCCCATTTGCCCTTCCTTATCACACACAGGATCATCCACACAGCGTTCCGTCGCGTGGTGCTGCGTGAGCTGTGTCTGAAGGTACAGCAGGTCAATCCGTTGCCACTGCCTGATCCCGATCAGATCACAGTCAACATAGAGATGCAGGTGTCACGTGACAAGATTGCCTTTCTCTTTGGCCTTAGTAGTAATCAGGTATGTTGGCTCTATTTATGGACATGTTCTATTTATAGATGGCCTATGCATAGGTGTGGTATCTGTGCTCGTCGTGTGTTTGGTGTGGATGTCCACGGAAGTGGTGTCGATGGCGAAGCGCGTACGTGCGGAAACCCCTTTGGTTTTTGTCGGTGTTGTGAACTAAATGCAGTGAGTGGCGTAAGTTGATGTATGTATTTAAACACAACGATAGATGCTATGTATACATCGATAAATGCAGGATCTGTTGATGGAGGCATGCAGCTGCGTACGTATTATGGTGCATATTATACATTTGTATTTCCGTATTCCTGAGCACGTACACATACACGCATGTACATACACACCGTCTTGCACGCATGTCCACATACACATACGCACACATATCCACACATGCATACATATACACTCATACCTTCATACACACACATACACAGCTGGGACGCATCCTGCACGATTATCTGCGTGGTCAAATAGTGCGAGAGGAGATCGTGGGCCTTAAGGAAAGCACGCAAGTGGAATCGGATGAAGACTCGGAGGAGAGCGTCGCCTTCTTCAAACGCCTGTCCAGTGGCATGTTCTTCACAGTGCCGGCCATGCTGGATGTGTTGCTGATTCTGTTTGTGCAGTCGGGTATCTTCAGGTGCGTGTGGGGGTTGGAGTCTCTGAGCGTGTGCGTCTGAGTTGTTGTTGGGAGTGTATGTCTGAGTTGTTGTTGTATGGTTGTATGCATTGCTTGAGTGTTAGGGTTTGTGGGTTTTAGAGTTCGGGGGTTAGGGTTTTGGTGCGAGCGTCGCTGTGATTCAAGAGCCTCTCGGATTGGTGTCGGTTAATATGGGCTGCTTCCAAGCAATACAATATGATCGACCATGCCGCAAAATCCAACATAAATTGAGACATGACACTGTTATGTCTAATGTCGTGTGTACAGTAAGGAGTCTGCTCTCTCGAGTGTAAGGAGAGCTACCTACATGTTAGTGTACAGTGTGGAGTCTGCTCTCTCGAGTGTAAGGAGAGCTACCTACATGTTAGTGTACAGTGTGGAGTCTGCTCTCTCGAGTGTAAGGAGAGCTACCTACATGTTAGTGTACAGTGTGGAGTCTGCTCTCTCGAGTGTATGAAAAGCTACCTACTTCACTCTCTCTCGAGTGTATGAAAAGCTACCTACTTCACTCTCTCTCGAGTGTAAGGAGAGCTACCTACATGTTAGTGTACAGTGTGGAGTCTGCCCTCTCGAGTGTAAGGAGAGCTACCTACATGTTAGTGTTCAGTGTGGAGTCCGCTCTCTCGAGTGTAAGGAAAGCTACCTACTTCCTCCTACACGTACTCGAGAGAGGGGGCGAGCTTATCGCTATGTTTTGGATCTTTTTTAAGTCCTTTGCTGATGACTTCGGATAGTCCTTTATTTCATTTCCCCCAGGCCAATCCAATTTGAAACATAGCCCAGCCCTATTTTATATTATATTGCAGTTCCTCGCTGATGACTACAGATAGTCCTTCATTTCATTTCCCCCACGCCATTACAATTTAAGACATACCCAGCCCTGTTTTATATTATGTTGCAGTTCCTCGCTGATGAGTAAGAATGCAGTGAACGTCGTCAACCTGACGTTCCTAATTGTCTTCACTGTCATGGGCGGAGTAGCCAACAGTATTGCGCGTGTGTGCAGCTACTACTTCAGTCAGTACTCTATCCCCCTCATGCTGGCGTCCTCCATGCGAAGGTATGTCTACGACACAGGTACTGTGTGGGTATGTATGCGTGTTCGAGTGCGTGGTTACTCTATGTTTGTGTGTGTGTGTGTGTGTGTGCGTGTGTGTGTGCTTGAAGATCCCTGTATACCGCTCGAGATTATACATATATTTAAGAGCATGATTCTGTCTCGTTGTGGATGGTGTCGTCAGGCAATAGTCAGCTACACCCCACTAATTCGAAACTAATTCAAACTAATCCAACTACGTATTAATCTCAGAATTACTGGAGGGCTGCTGTTTGCGTTATTCTGGTCGGTTGTGGGTGGGGTCGTTGTGGCAGTGATCACTCCTGAGGCGCCATGGTGGGGCTTGATGTGCTTCTTCTACGTCTTCACCTTCTCCGTGTTCTTCATGTTCATGTCCAGTAAGTCTCGATATGTGTGTGCATGTGTATGTGTGATATATGCATATATGTGTATGTTTTGTTTTATTTTCTGTTTATAATCTGTGTATGTGTCATATCAGTTTGTTTTGTCATTCGTACATATATCATACTATTATGTGTTCTATATACATATGTGCGTGTCTTGTTTTATTTTATTCTGTGTTATTTTCGTGTATGTATCATATCATTAAGTGTTACAATTCGTATATATGTTTTTCCATTATGTGTGCATGCAAGTTTCATACACCCGTGTACCTGCGAATGTATGCCGTTTCCCAGCTACTGGGGTATTCCTCTACGTCCGGTCAATTTTCTATTGAACCCTATACACAAACAATGAAACGTATATCAATCCGTACGTGCATCAACAGGATATATGTACTTGTGGTCCGTTTGTAGAGCGACAGAGTATCAGACACAGCACAGCCCACTCAGGACACCCCACATATGCTACACACGTACTTAGGGTTTAGGGTTTTCTAAAGCATATCTGCGATAGAGACTATTACGCGCACGCACGTGATGCGGTGGATACTGTATTTTAGGGTTTCTGGTTTTAGGGCTTAGACACGCACAACCGCCTTTCAGTAGGTGCGTGGTAACAACTGCATGTCCAAACACACACCCGTGTGCGTGTGTGCGTGTGTGTGTGTGTATACTCAAACCACACACACGTGAACATATACATAGACACACATGCATGTTATGCACAACATATCAACCCAATGAACCCCTGCTGACCTGTGTCTGTGTCTCCTTTCCTCTGCCCAGCTCTCTTTATAATGCAGACGGGCACAGACTTTGTGCTGAAGGGAAAGGGCCCCCGCGCAGTCTTCATTGCCCTGCTGCTGCTAACTGTGCCGTGCATTGTATGTAATCGATCGACACTCCTCTTTATTTGTCCACTACTACATGGTCGTGGTTGCTGACCAAGGATATAGGTGCAGGTAGTTTATATCTACCACTGGTGCATGATCAAACTTGTTTATTGCTCCTCTTTATTTGTCCACTACTACATTGTCGTGGTTGCTGACCAAGTGTATCGGTGCAGGTAGGCTATATCTACCACTGGTGCATGCTCAAAGTTGCTTACTGCTGCTCTTTATTTGTCCACTACCAGATCGTCGTGGTTGCCGACAAAGCATTTCATTACAGATTCCCCTTCGATGTGATCTTCATCTACTACGGCTTCATGGTGATCTCCACTACCTGGCTGATGTATTCGTTCAGAAGCAATGCCGAGGACTGGCTGCAATGGCCCAACTCAATCCAAATCACAAAGGTACGAGGAAGAAGAGGGTTATATGCATTCTAGTGTACACTGTGCGTCCAGTATTAAGTTATATATATTATGTATGTATGTATGTGTAGCATATATATAATAATGCATTTTAATTGCAAAGGTGTTGGCGTTAGGTGTATACATTTCATAGTATATCGATTATCGAGATAGCCTACAGCACGAAAATCACGATGAATATATATATATATATAAGAATGTGATACCTACACACACTCACAATATTTTTGGAACATCCATGCACTCTGTTGTACCTTAACACCAACACACACATGCACACAGATACTTAGTATTGCACTGTACAGCGCCAAAATCACGACGAACATATCATCACGCATGTTTTTAATCCTGTGTTTAATTACATATACATTGGGTTTTAGGGTTTAGCAAACCCCCTAAACTCTAGAACTGTGTCATCCCACTCAACGCCCAATTCCTCTGAACTCCTGCTCACCCACTCACTCACCCACCCACGCAATATGTTCTCCTGCACACAGACACTCACTCACCCACCCACCCACTCACTCCTCAGGTGTCCAGCATTGAAGAAGCCTACAGCACTAAAGTCAAACGGCCCGTGCGCCGTCCCGAGGAGTCTATCACGGACCACGGCAAACGTGTTAAACGTTTTGAGAAGCGTGCGCGTACGTTCTTTATGCAGGCGGTATACGATCGGTTGGACAAGGAGAAGAAACAGTGGTTCCTGCCCTCACGCTCATACAAGGAAGGCAGCCCTATGAAGGTAGGGACGGTGTACGTGTGGGACACTCAACTGTTTATGGTATGGCCATAGTCATAGTCATTTGCTTTCAAGTTCTTCATATATTCTGTCATATTCTTTTATATTATTTCATATTATTTCATATGCAAATATTTATTGAGATTAAAATTACATCTGTATTTAATTATCTGTGCATGGGTAGTTTTCGCCCTATCCGCGTAGTGGGTTGGTGCGTGGCTGCATGTTTTGTGTATTTCTCTGTTTAATATGTCAAGTTTCAATTCGTGCACTCATTCACTAGCCCTTTCTCAGTCTCCATACAACGTATTTAATACATAGTCGCCATTCCTGGTTATTTTTCCACTACCAGATCGTCGAGGAGAGATGTGGGCAGACCAAATCGGAGAAGATTTTGATGAATTGGTATCTCATGCGCACTGGTCAGGACAAGCCATTGTACGCATCCTTCCAATGGGATGTCCTTCTCAAGCAGGTGTGTATGTGTGCACTTGGGCTCATATCTCTATGCAACTGGTTTAGGGTTTGTAAGCTGGTGATTTGATTTTACCTACAAGTAAAAGTCAGTGGCCATATATGTGCATATGTCAATGTGTGTCCATGCCCATATCATGTCAATGTCGTGAATGGAAGTTTCGCCTTTCCTTCCGCAGACCCTCGTTGTCTCCAGACAATGTGGTGCTGCGTGTGCGCTATTCAACGAATGCAGTATCCGTTACGTTTATATACTTATACAGATGCGTTACGTTTCTATACGTATACAGTTGCGTTATGTTTCTATACGTATACAGTTGCGCTACGTTTCTATACGTATACAGATGCGCTACGTTTCTATACGTATACAGATGCGTATGGAAATGTTTTCATAGTGACGCATGTGGGAACGTGTTCATAGCGTATGTTGCTTGTGTATGTCCTGCAGGCCTCCAACACATCATGTTTCTATTTTGTGTTTGTATTTGCATTCAAATCCCTATCCCCGTCGCCATTCCTCCTGCCCCAGGCGCTGGGTGAGATCCATAAGAAGTTTTCTGTGGAGAAGTTGAACCGTGGGGGTCTGCTGTATGACTTCGAGGGCCAGGCTATTCTGTTTGGGTGGATGTACTTCTTCATGATCTTCATCGATCGCTGGTGCTCTATCTTCACCGGCAACGGCATCTTTGTGTTCATTGCAGGTATGGGAGGGTAAGCCTCATTTTTGGCCTCGAAACGGCCTTCTCCTCGTTCCTGTTTTATTGTCCACTATGCACGCACGGGTGCTGGCTTTCGAATCAATCGATTCCTTTCTCACTTGCTCTTCCACCTCCCGCAGTTATGACCACTACACACACTCGATCGTAAATAGTGAGTGCTCGTACGGTTGCGGGTGTTTTACTATGTACATGCACACACACCATAGAAATAGCCTTTTTCAGCGGCTGCCGTTGACCCTGCAGGCAACTCACGCGCGTGTCTCGCTGTGCACTCCATTCCTCCTTAATTGACCACTGCACAGACTCTGCGATTGGAATCGAGTACTCGTACGGCATTGGATGGGCCACTGTGTACATGCTGTTGTCGGCGGGTACCTTTGAGCTGAATCTGAGTTCCATTTCCATCGCCGAGCGCTCGTGGCTGAGTGTGCGATTGGGCGCAGAGAAAGCGGAACAGGTACACCTCACACCTCACACCACAGTGTATGAATTAGAGGGGTGCATGCGTCAACCAGAAGGAACTGTGGGAGGGAACTACAATGAGCTATATTAGGCAATAGAATGACCTATATTAGGCAACTATAATGATCTATAGTGTGTGTGTGTCTATTAGTTACGTATACTGATAGATTCGTGTTTGTTTCGTATATCTGTGTATGTACTGCATATACAAATTAATCTAGTATATATCTTTGTGTGCGTATCAAGTGGTTTTGTTCAAACTAATGGACTCTGTGTCAGCCATCATCCTGGTGACAACTGAGCGGTTGCTAAGGTGCGCTGATGGTGGCACAAACACGGCACCAAATGTTGCACGGTGAATGATGATGCAACGAACCTCCAGTTTGTTCTGGTGTGCATACATACAAACATACGCTCGTTTATAGTCAGAAGTACTTCCTAAGAATACGCTCGTTTATAGTCAGAAGTACTTCCTAAGAATACGCTCGTTTATAGTCAGAAGTACCCCTAAGAAAATCTTATATCAACAACGCACACTGACCACTCGCAAACAATCACCCCATCCATACACAGCCAATGCACACACCGATTGACAAAGCAAAACACACATCTACACATGTATACACACATCATATATATATATATATATATATATATATATCCCTAAATTCCTAAACTACTTACACCCCTAAACTCTACACGAACACACACACACACACACACAACTTATGAACTACTTGTCAAGCACACACCGATTACTAATACAACACACACACATACACATACAGCTGGTAGAATCACGTAAGGCGCAGAAGCATCGGTTCTATCGTGCTGAGCTGGCACGCTTCTTCACAGCCATCTCCATCGTCTGTTGCATCACCACGGCTTTCATGATTGTGCTCAAGCCCAGCAAGGGCATTGACGCGTACAAGTACTACGGCATTGGAGTACTCTCTTACTCTGGTATGTAAATCTTAATTCCAAAATGTGGAATTTAGAATCTTGTATGTGCACGTAGTGCATATGCGATGCTGACCATGGTTATTGTGCTGTGTCTCCCCATCGAACTCGTGGTAGTCTTTGCCCCGCTTAGGGGCACCAATGCTTTGGCTTTCTGTTGTATCGTATCTCTCCTATGGACGTCTCTATCCCACGCAGCTCATACCCATACGCTCTCAATACGAAATACACCCCCTACAATCCCTAATCCCTAACCCCCCCCCCCTACTCCTACCCAGGCTTGCTGCTGGGTCTCTTCCACAAGCTGTTCCTGGCCCCCAAGGAAGGCGCCATCAACGCGTGCCTGTTCACGGGCATTGTGGTGGGGTTGTTGGTAGGTATAGTGCTGACCATCTTCCTGGGCTCTGTGTGGAGTCTGTCTGCCCTCACTGCCGGGTCGTGGACCTTTGGCATTCTGGTCATGTTCCTCTACAAGTATGTGGCAGTGTATACTTGAGTGAGTGTTATTGGTACAAGTATGTGGCAGTGTATGCTTGAATGAGTGTCGGTGGTGGATATGTGGTTTAGGGTTTTAGGGTTTTAACCCCTAAACCCTGTATAGTAGTATGCCCATACCTACCTATGTTGTATGACTCGTGTTCTTATCATTCACTTGGTCATAACAAAGGAATAGCCGTGACATTGGTGTGCCTTGAGGTGTAGCACTATCGCCCACGCTCATAACTTCATGGCAAGCCTTCAGTGGTACTGTATATACAGTATCTTTCTATGGATGTATTTACTTTTATATATATATATATCACTTATGTATATATATATATATATATATCACTTATGCCAACGTCGTCTACTCGAATTTACCTACCACTCAGGCGAGAGATCCGAGTGCACCGAGGTGTGGCCCTGTCCCCCACTCTCATGTCTTCGGGACAAGAGTGGTATGGTGTGGATGGCGTGGCTGGTGAGCAGAATGTCCGAGATCGTGTCCTCAAACCTCTGCTTAAGGACCGGTCCTCACGCCTGCAGATCAGGCCAGACCAGGTGAGAATGACTGCTTATCTGTGGGTTAATTTGTGCCTGTGTGTACATGCAGAGACTGGACCTGCTGTTTACTGTGTGTGTCTGTGTGTTCTTATATGTAAAGTAGCTATGCCTGGTTTGTGTGTGTTTGCGTGTTCTTATATGTAAAGTTGTGTATGTAAGTAGGCCATCGTATATCCCATGCACCTTTTGCCTCTGTACTTTGTCCACATACCCCTCGCACTTTGTTCACATCCGGCTGTCCCATCTCTTCGGAGTTCGGTACCTCCTACTAACACGCACTCCTCCCCTTGCTCCTTCCACAAAAGGCAATCGGCAAACAGGCGGTCGAGATGATCCGCAACACCGCCGCCCATTATGACTCGTTGCCCTCCGTAGTCAAATCCGCCTATCCCAATGGCGCCAGGTCACTCAGTACTATCGCCGATGCGCTGGAACGGGGCAAAATCAAGGCATACATGGTGCTACACACCAGTCTGTGGGTAGATAAGGACCCCCTAAACGCACAGGGGTACTCAGCCCTGAGTGAGTATGACATGGCTAAGGATAGGCTCAGAGTGTTCATAGCCACTCCTTCAGGTGAGTGGGGTGCGAGAATGTCGATACACGTACATTCACATGCATACATGCACACACTCGCATATCCGTTTAAATACGCAGAATAAACACGCACACACCTATCAAACACCTGGGGAACCTCTATACACTGAGTCATGTTAACGTACGCACACTCTCACGCACACTACACACACGCCAACCCCTCTCCCCACCCCACCCAGGCGGAGCGGCCGATATCATGGTACAGATAGTAGCCGAAGCCATCGTCCACGAGTACATGGAATCGTTTGGCATGTCACACAACCATGCCACAGTGTCGGAGATACTGCTGGACGACCGCGTGCGGCTACCTCAGCGTGTGTCGTATCACATCGCAACAATGAACGGCAACGCTCTGGTGGATGTGAAGGCGAGCTTTGGCGCCAATGTGTTCAAGGAGGCGCTGCTGCTCGTGGATGTGGCGACGGAATGGCAGAAGGTAGGGCGAGTGGTGTGCAGAACTGTGTGTGTGTATGCAGAGATGTTTATTTATATATATATATGTGTGTATGCAGAGATGTTTATTTATTTATATATATGTGTGTATGCAGAGATGTTTATTTATATATATATGTGTGTGTGTGAGTGTGTGTGCGTGTGTGTATTTATGGGTATGTGCTGCGGGGATGCGTGTGAGTGTGCCGCCTATGTGAATCTCCTCTCAGGACACTGTGGTGGTGGTAAGCCACGTGATGATTGATTGTCTGAGATGGGATACGCGTATGACATGAATACATAAACTGTTCATTTTATTGCAACCTGGGACAACGTTGTCCATTTTATTGCAATCTGGACAACGTTGTCCATTTTATTGCGATCTGGACAGAGGTCTCCGTATTATTGTGTTCTGGACAAAGGTGTCCGTTTTATTGCGTTCTGGACAAGGGTGGTGTCGGTGACATCTCAGGGGACCACTAGGTGTTTCTCTCGACAAATACGCGCACGTGTGTGTATGTTTATTTGAATTTGGTTGGCATGCGTACTTGTTATTTAGTATTTGCAATTGGGCTGATCTGTATCCGGGTCGTACAACATGTATGGGTGACATAGCCAAAACTTTAAACCCTATCGTTCAGTACACTTGACCGATGTTCTTTTCTCACTCACTCACACATACACTCACATACCACCCACCCAAGCATATATATATATATTCATATATTTATATACCCATTCCATCTCTTGCGCCCATCTTCACAGGTGCCAGAGAGCATTCGCATCTTCATTGTGGACTACTGTCTGCAGTTCTATGATCTGGTGCACAATGTCATCAACACACAGACAATTGATATGCGGCAACTGCCCTCCACCAGCAACATATCAGCCAGTGACATGGTCATGTACCGGTCCATGGTAGGGGGCACCCCAGGCGAGGAGCTCGAGACGGTGGAGAGTCAGGTGTGGGTTGTTTACAAATGCTTTTAGGTGAATGTCTTTGATATATGTGTATCTATATCTATATGTATATAAGGCTATATATACATATATATATATAATATAATATAAATAGTTAGTTAGTTAGTGAGTTAGTTAGTAAGATACCCCACCCACTAACCCATGCCCATGCCACACAGATTGAGTCGAGTGTAGCTCGGTCGTGTCTGGGGTATGAGCTGTCGCTGCGGGTGAATGAAGTGGTGGACATAATGTTGGACCAGTTGACGCCTCAGGACTTCTTCTCACCGCACGATGTGCTGGAGGATACCTTCTCCGATGATGTGTCTCTGGCCTATTCGCAGTGGTTTATGTACCGCCTCAATAACTTTTTCAGGTAGGTAGAGCGGCTGTGTATATCTATATATTATATTATATTATATTATATATATAAATATATATATGTGTTTAGTTGTTTAATTGTTTAGTTATATAGTTATATCACCTTCCTTTCCTATTACCAACACAACAACACATAGTCTCCCACCGCACCTTCTCATACCACCTCTCCTGCACAGGTTGACGTTTATGGCCTTTACTGCGGACCCTCGCATTGGGCGTGAGATGTGGTTTGGTGAGTGCTTGCCTGCATGGTTGGCCCATCTGCTTCTACCTACACTCCATGCTACAGCCCGTCACATTCTGCTGAGGATGGAGCTCACCTTCTTACTCAGGTGTGTGTGCGTATGTGTTGATGTGTGTAGGGTGATGCAATGACGGATAGCAAGCCTCAAGTCATTAGGTATGCATATATGTTATGTATATATGGTAGATATGTATATATGATAGATATGTATATATGATAGATATGTATATATGTATATATGTATATATGGGATGTGTGTGTATAGTCATAGTAATAGCCATAGTGCCTCGTACCACATAGTGTATATAGGGATGTGAGTATATAGTCATAGTCAAGGGTAGTGTGAGGTATTTGTGCTAGGTCCATACAACCACCCCTGGACACATACCATACACCTGTACCTATTCCGTTAAAACGTGAATGCCTATGTACTAACCCCTGTACAACCACCCTGTCTCTGTCCTTGTCCTTACTATACACTCCCCGGTCTCACACAGATCAAACGTTAAAACGTGCATGTCTATGTGCTAACCCCTATACAATCACCCTGTCTCTGTTTTTGTCCTTACTATACACTGCCCCGTCTCACACAGATCAAACTTTAAAAGGTGCATACTATATACGAACCCCAGTACTACCACCCCGTCCCTGTCCCTGTCCTTACTATAAACTCCCCCGTCCCCTCAGATCAAAACACGTGCAACACTTCCTGTCACGCACTCGTCGTGGGTTGAACCGTGAGATCTTCAACCTACAGAACCTACTCAGCAGCAAACCCAAGGACCCCTGCTACATCAAGTACTACGACGCAGAGGTGCCCCTCACGGCCTTTGTGCAGCCGCCGAATGCTGGGGCTGTCAAGTATGTCCACTGAGACATGTTTATTTGTTTATATAAGTATGTATATGTATGTATGTATGTATGTATGTATGTATATATGTATATATATATATCTATATCTGTATCTATATATGTGTGTGTGTGTGTATGTGTGTGTGTGCGTGTGTGCTCATTATTATATATATATATGTATGTATGTATGTATGTAGGTCGGTACTTTGGCGCTTGTATGTGCATGTGTGTACTGTGTTGAACATACATACGTATATCTTCGTCCTATCTGTATCGCGTATCGAGCATCCTTCGATTAATCCTCCAGAATACATTGGAGGTGTATCCATTCACACGTGTGTAGTCGTCCATACATAACCTCCTCTCATGACCTCAACGCCTTGGCACCCGCACTGCTCTCCATCCGCATCCACAATACCAAACCCAGCGCTCTCATACCTACACCAAGTGACAATCTCAACTTACACGCATTTCATTTGCCTTCACTTGTCCCTGCCACAGGGTTTTAGGGTTTTGCGCCAATTGACTTCACTTCACTTCTCCCTGCTACAGGGTTTTGCACCACTTGACCTTTCTTCCCTCCTCCCCAATCCACAGAGACGCGGCTGGCTTGTCCGTGCCGTTGGTAGATCAGCCTCTGCTGATTCACCATTTCCAGGGTCTGCACACGGTCGTTCCCAAGGCAACACCATCGATTGTCAGCACGTACCAACGGGGAGCCAAGCGACCACGTCTGTTGAAGCAGTTCTTAGCAGGGGTGAGTGTCTCAGTCAACGGTTGATAGGGTTGTGGTGCATGATATTGTATACTATACCAGTTGGGCGGGAAAGGTTGGCTGTGTGGGGTTTCTGTATGCGTACGGATGCTGCAAAGGTTGTAGTTAATGTTTTTATACCCTATAGGACAAGACATATATATATATATATATATATATATGGGGGGGGGTGGGTATGTATGCATGCATGTATGTATGTATGTTGATTTTTATATAAGTTTCTTACAGCTTATATTCCTCCCATTCTACTCTGGCCACCCAGGAGGGTCCGCAGAGACAGGGGCTGACGGTGTTCTACCACTACGAACCCCATGTGCCGTACTATCCCACGGCGGCGTTCTTCTTCTTGGGCAATCTGGCGGCCATTGAAGACGCGACCGATGAGCTACGCTACATGGCATTGGCTTATGATCCCAAGGTGTGTGTGTGTGAGTGAGTATGTGTATTTTGTGCGTGTGTGAATGTGTGTGTGTGTGCACGACCCTTATGCTAAGGCTAATGCTTGTGATTTGATTCGTATGCGTGTGTGTGTGTTTGTGTTACACTTAGGCTAATGCGTATGATTTGTATGCGTGTATGACAAACTTACATATGCAAACTAACCTCAACTCGGCTTTCCTTTTTTATCTCTATATATAGTACGTTGGAGATTATATCAGTATATATAGTACGAATGGGAGTACATCTCTATATATAGTACCACCTTACTCAGGTCTCTACCAGATGTATCGCCATTACCACCTATTACACCTACCAACCCCTTACCCTCTCTCTACCACCCCCCACTTTGTACCTACAGTCGGGCAATGTATCTGCTGGCACGTTGTATCGCACGCAAGTGGGTGTGGGCAAGGGATCGCTGGTGAATGAGTTTGAGGCGCGCTTCTTCTACGAGGATAATGGTGCGGGTGCCCCTATCACCAGGGCCTTCTATGTGTCTGTTACGGAGAAGTGGTCTATGCTGGTGCAGTATGCTGGAAAGGTGGGTGTGTGCGAGAGTGTACGGGTTGTGGTTGTGTGTGGTGTTGGTTGCGTATGTTTGGGGGTGTATGTGTGTTGCCGTTGCATGTTGGCGCGCATGTCCAGGTGTGTGTTTGTATTTGCCCTGAGTTTCGTATTTAATACATAGCTGTATTTAATATATATATATGCGGGAACTCAACTACTTCGATACACACACCCTTTGTCCGCATTCGCCTCTGTCGTCAACTCAGCACCTACGCTACCTACACCTTCAATTTACCACACATGTCTCATATTCCGACTCATGTCGTTTATTCCACCATCAGGTGAGCGGCGAGGATCAGCCGCACATCTCTTATGTGGACTACGTAGACCCTCACAACATCAAGTGCCGTACGCATTACTCCTACACCCATCCGCTGCACCCCACTCTGCAGACCATGAAGGTATGCATGTGATTGCAGGGTTTAGTGTTTTTTAGGGTTTGAAGGTATGCTTGTCTTGTATCAGAGTCTTCAAAAAAAAATGGTATAGTAAGCAGGTGTATTGTGTGTGTTTGTTTTATGTGCTGTGCTTGTTTGGTGTATTATGGTGTGTGATAGGCGTAGATATAAGAGTATGTAGATGGCATGTGTTGTGTGATAGGCGTGTAGATATATGAGTATGTAGATGGCGTGTGTATGGGGTACAATATCGCAGTAGAATCTGTAGCGCTAGCAAATAGTGCACCTCCTCTACAGCACCAGAACCGTCTGTAGTTCAGTCGTATGTACAGGCGCCCGTATTCACTTACCACACACATACACACACTTAAACATACATACACACACAGCTTCGCACAGGTAACATCGCACATCGGAAGGTCAAAGTAGAGACTCCGTTGGTGATCAAGAACGATCCATACCAACTGATCAATGCACTACCGCCACGCGGCATCTACCACTACGACATGCTACTCACCCACGGCCTCAGGGAGAAGCGACGCGGCAACTACTTCGGGCAGCAGTGGTATGGATAGGAGTGTGTGTGTATAGGCATGTAGATGTGTGGATGTGTGTATAGGCATGTAGATGTGTGTACGTGAGTATGGGCATGTAGACGTGTGTATGTGAGTATGGGTATGTAGATGTGTGTATGGGCATGTGTGCATGTGTGTGGGCATGTTCACGGATCAGCTCATTCGAATAGCGGTGTCATTTAGATCTAGATACATATATACTTGTACTTATGCTTTTACTTATACTTGTACTATAGTTGTAACTATACTTATAATTATACTTATACATATACTTATATATATATATATGTGTGTGTGGGCGTTTATGCATGTCTGTGTGCCATCATCTCTAACTTATTTACCCCTTTCACTCCCTCCATCTCTCCTTCATTAGGACTGAGTTCTACTCCCGTGCTGCTACAACACAGCGCAAGCGAATGGAACTGTGGACACTGTGGCGCTCAGGGTTCATTGAGGGAGCCTTCGCTATGGACATTGACGAAGTCTTCCTGCGAGAAGAACCTATCCTCAAGCGGTATGTGTATGTGTACACGTATGTGTATGTGTACACGTATGCGTATGTGTACACGTATGCGTTTGTGTATGTGTATGTGTATGTGTACACGTATGCGTATGTGTTTATGTTTAAGTGTACGTATGTGGGTGTGTGTATTTGTATGTGAATGTAAATTGTCAGAGTATTACTTGGCCAAGCCTGGCCGCAAAGATCGACCAAGGCGTGTGTTAATTTGCAAATAAAACATACGCTCACCTGTGCCCATCCCTCCCTGTGAGCTTCCCCTACACCTGAGTCACCTACACTTACCCCCACGGCTCTCCGAGCACCTGTGCCTGGTACTCTCCGAATCAAATTCTGCACATAGACCGTTATAACAGCCGACACGCACAACAAGGTGTAACCTGTAATTGTACTTTAAATGTTATTCAGAGGCTTGTGTCGTGATGCATACTCCCTTCTTTTTTTTTCTCGCAAAACATATGCTCCTATGATTCCTTTCACACATATACTTACACTCATACCTACCTCTCCCATGCCCCACCCACACAGCTACAGACACTCATACCTACCTCTCCCATACCCCACCCACACAGCTACAGACACTCATACCTACCTCTCCCATACCCCACCCACACAGCTACAGACACTCATACCTACCTCTCCCATACCCCACCCACATAGCTACAGACACTCATACCTACCTCTCCCATACCCCACCCACATAGCTACAGACACTCATACCTACCTCTCCCATACCCCACCCACATAGTTACAGACACTCATACCTACCTCTCCCATACCCCACCCACATAGCTACAGACACTCATACCTACCTCTCCCATACCCCACCCACACAGCTACTGGAAATTCCGTGACCGTGGCGACAAGGCCGGTGCGCGTGACCAGATAGACCACCACCTGGTTGCTATCTCTAACCTGGTAGTACGAGACACCCCCAACACACGCACACACTTGCAACTGCGCATAAGTGATCTACAGGGCCTCGGCTGTGGCGGTGACTCGTCCGAGATCACGTCGCTGGATGTGAGCACAGACATGAACCGGGAGAATCTGCAGGTGTGTGCTTGCAGATAGAAAGATATATATGTGTGCGTATATGCTTGTGGTTGTATATATATATATATATATATATATACATGTGTGTGTGTGTGTGTGTGTGTAAGGCATATATGCTGCGTGCGTGTGTTTGCACATGCGTGTTACTTCCATGCACATGTGTGTGTTTAGCTCTATGCACTGCTGTGCATGCGTGACTGCACGTGACGGGGTGCTGTGGTGTCTATTGGTGGCCACATGTTGCATGCTTTGACATCAGCAGTTTCATGTGTCCTCGTTGTGTGTATATATAGATATCTCGCAGACCCTTTATCCTTTCCTTGTGTTGTAGGTAGTTTCTCACATACCCCTTGTCCTTTCCTTGTGTTGTAGGTAGTTTCTCACATAACCCTTATCCTTTCTTTATGTTGTAGGTAGTTTCACATACCCCTTGTCCTTTCCTTGTGTTGTAGGTAATTTCTCATATACCCCTTATCATTTCCTTGTGTTGTAGGTAGTTTCTCACATACCCCTTATCCTTTCCTTGTATTGTAGGTAGTTTCACATACCCCTTGTCCTTTCCTTGTGTTGTAGGTAGTTTCTCACATACCCCTTATCCTTTCTTATGTTGTAGGTAGTTTCACATACCCCTTGTCCTTTCCTTGTGTTTTAGGTAGTTTCTCACATACCCCTTATCCTTTCCTTGTGTTGTAGGTAATTTCTCACATACTCATATCCTTTCCTTGTGTTGTAGGTAATTTCTCATATACCTCTTATCCTTTCCTGGTGTGTAGGTACTTTCGCTTGACTCTGGCACATGGCCTACGGGTGGGGGTGGTGTGGGCAGTTGTCGTCGTGATCTGATTGACAATCTCAACCGCGTGCGCTGGACGGCCATTGCGGAAATCGGAACCGATTCAGAGATGGTGCAGAAGGGGTATGTTGTGCTATGTATAGGACATGCGAGCTATGCATTGTGCTATAAATAGATCATCTGAGCTATATACTGTGCTATAAATAGACCATCTGACCTATACATTGTGCGCTGAACAGATGATGAGAAATATTCCAGGCGGCGTTCTAGTTAGTGGTATTCTGCATGTTTTCAGGGTCATTTATCAGGCCTTTCTGATACACCACTCCGCAAGCTGTCTCGCCACTTATCCTTCCACCATACTGTTCTTACTGTACACCACATTCTTCTCACTTATCCTTACACCATACTGTTCTTCTACCTGCTTCTCCAGATACCAAGCCGAGCGTTTTGTGAATGCCATTGACTACGTGCCCTTGTGGGGACTGGATATGGGAACACCCAACCAGGTAAGCGCACGCTCTGTCATGCGCAGACAACGCTGTGTGTACTTTGTTATACGAGCATGAGTGTATTTGCAACAGACATAAGCGTGGATTGAGATATGTGTACATGATTGTATGCATCTGTATATGTATATATATATATATGTATGAACATGTTTATGTTTGCATGTGTATGTATGTCGGTATCCTCGTAGTGTTGCATGAAGATGATTGTTTTGCTATTCATGAACTTGCTTGTAATATCACTATTTTAAATCTCAACTGAGCGCAGCCAGTTACTTCTCTGGCAGTTATGTGACCCTGGTGGCAGCTGAATGTCTTTAAGCGTTTAGTACTAATAAACGCAATAACCTGTTTGAATAATAGAAACCCGAAGATGCTTATAATTCTGTATTCTATTTATAGACCAGCTGCTCACAATTCTATATTCTATTTATATACCAGCTGCTCATAATTCTGTATTCTATTTATAGACCAGCTGCTCATAATTCTGTATTCTATTTATATACCAGCATGTGTTGTCTGACCAGCCGTACGGCGAGTTGCAGCTGAAGGCCAAACGTACGACGGACAATATTGTGAAGCGCAACTTCATTCCGTTGCTACAGCAACTGATCTATGGTACGTGTTGTTCTATGTGCCACTGCTTGGGTGACGGTGTGGTTGCGTACGAAGGCCTGTGCGCAGTTAAACACTCTCGTTCACACTTAGCTCACACACCTGAGCCTATTTGTATCGTATAATGTCTTGCTTATGAACACCTCTTTCTAAAACATGTGCATGCGCTCTATCTAACACTGTCAATAGCCGTCTGTTCTGAGGTGTGTATACTGTGTCTGTTCTAAAGTGTTTATAAGCTTAAAACAGCCATCGAGAGGCCCTACCGTCGTCCTATACGCCTGCCGTGCGCAGATGTTCTCTTGCACGTACGCACACCAATTAGAGCTGAAAGCATGAGCTGCAAATCACATACTACACCCTACACGCACCTTTCGTGGTATGTTGTACCTTGACTTTACACTCACGCCTGTTGACACGCCTCATCTATCTATAACAAACCCCTCAAACCCTTAACGTATCCTATGTATTGCTTCCTACCCCCCCCCCCCCCACTGCACCTACCAGGGATGAACCAGACGGACTTCAAGCCCTACCACACCACACTGTACGCCAACATGTTTGTGAAGCTGCACCTGTACTTCCAGGAGTTTGATTGGCTGACCTCGTGGGACCACGAGTACTCACGCCGTGCATGGTACCGCACATGGTTCCAGGTGCTCAACGACGCCAACAGGGGACGCTTCAACGCCAACCACAAGCAGAAGTTTAATAGTATGTGCGGCTACATAGAGAGATGCATATTGATATATATATATATATTGCTGTGTCTGTGTCTATGTCTGTGTCTGTGGTAGCGTATGGACACTCTGTTTACTTCTGACACTAAAAATCTCCCCCAACACCCGCTCACGCCTACTCACCCTCACCTACCCCTTACCCCCCACAGACCGCCAGCCAGGGTTTAATGACCCTGATGACGGAGCCGCTGACTACTATCTGCAGTTGGAGATGCCTACGCTGGAGGATCTAGATGCGCTGTATGAGCTGATTGTGCGTCTGCTCTTCCCCATTGCCGCACGCTTCCCGCGGCTGTCTGTGGTCCATGCCTCCCACCACGGCATCCAGTCTCTGTTGGGAGTTATCTCCAAGACCATGTATGTCTGCGTGTGTGTGTGTGTTTGGGTTTTAGCCTCCCACCACGGCATCCAGTCTCTGTTGGGAGTATCTCCCAAGACCATGTATGTCTGCGTGTGTGTGTGTGTTTTTGCCTCCCACCACGGCATCCAGTCTCTGTTGGGAGTTATCTCCAAGACCATGTATGTCTGCGTGTGTGTGTGTGTGTTTGGGTTTTAGCCTTCCACCACGGCATCCAGTCTCTGTTGGGAGTTATCTACAAGACCATGTATGTCTGCGTGTGTGTCTGTGTGTGTTTGGGTTTGGGTTGATTCGTAAGAGTATACCTACATGTTTCTCGGATTCTTGTCTCGTATAAGTAGATTATGTTCCTGCTGTGTCCCGTTGCTTCTTTTTTCACTCGTCTGAGGCGCGTGCCTCTCCCTACAACCTCTTCACTCTCCTCCCATCCCAGGTACGGTTCCTAAATCCTATACACCTAAAACCCTATACCCTTTACCCTATACACCCCCCTGGCAGGTACGGTTCGTCCCTGATTATCTGGGATCATGGGGTGTTGTGGCGTGAGCGTCTACTGGCCCTGTCCACTCTACCGCCCCAGGTCATGGCTAAGTTCGTGCAGATTGGGTTTGTGGGTCTGACGCGCCTTTCGGCGACACTCGCGTACAACGCAGCGAACTGTGTGTGCCCGTGCACTTCTATCCAGAACGTCCAGTGGGAGGTATGTGGTCGATGATGTGTTTTTACGTGTGCTTGTATGTGTATGTGTGCGTGTGCGTGTACGTGTGTGCATTACATGAGCTGCTGTTGCATGCTGTGTGTCACAGCCAATTACAAACTAAAGTGAACGCATTCACGCCCTGATACCTACGCATACTTCGTTGTGTGGTATTGATGGGGTGTCTAGGTATTTCAACACACAAAGGATACTATATACATGCACCTACGCCCACTCTCACATGCACACTCATACTCTCTCTCACTCTCACACGCGCACGCATTCGTTTTCTCTCACCCAAGGCCTATCTTATGTACTGCACACACTCGCTCTCACAACACACATACCCTCTCGCTCGCTCACTCTCTCACCCTCTCACACATTCGTTTTCTTTCTTAAGGCCTATCTCGGCGGAGGCAAGTACAGCAACGATACGATGGAGCGTATGATCTACCGTAAGATCTCACCCGTGCTCAACGGAATGGATGTGAACCGTTTCCGTATCGACAAGTCGAAGGAAAAGGACAACCCCACGACCGTGATGCTGTCCCACGTCAATCGTATCAAGGATGTGCTCAACGCCATTGAGGCCGCCGCGGTCATCGTGCACGAGTATGTGTGTATCTATGTATGCATTCAATTATATGCATGTGTGTGTATGTCTATACTTTCAAGTACGTACACACATGTGTGTGGGTGTGTATGTCTTTCAAGTACGTACACATGTGTGTGTGTGTGTGTGTGTCTACATATGCATTATACTATATGCGTGTGTGTGTCTGTGTTTTATATATACTAACAGACATGTATTTCTTGCCTGCGCTCCGAAATCTTCGTTTACTAAGAATCTCGACCATGACAATCATATCGTCACAGGCGATATCACATACACACATTCCCCTGTCCTTACCTACTAACTTGCCCCCTCCCGCAGATACGGACTGAAAGAGTACAAGTTGCTGGTGTATGGATCTCTGGACTCGGATCCGTTGTACGCCAACGAGTGTGCCAATGCAATCATTGCGCTTAATTTGGCGGAGAATGCCTTCCTGTGTGGTTTAGGTGAGCGAGAGCACTGCTATTTATAGCTCATGTGCCCCCTGCCATTCTGGTCCATTGTTAGGGCCAATGTACAGCCTTTTTTCTTTTTTCTTTTTCTTCGGCTGTAGAGTACACACTGTTCTGTTGTGCGGTACATAAACCATCCGAACTGCTGTTGTTGTATTAAATTGTGCGGCCTATAGCTCATACCTCACCTACCAATACGCTACCTATACCCTCAGGTAACCCTGCGCTGGTGCTGCCCCAAGGATGGGTGTTTGTGAACAGTTCGGTATCTGAGGGTCTGCCCTTGGCCATTGGTGAAGCAGGACTCACTGGACTGCCTGTGGTGTGCACGGATGTAGGTGGATCTCGAGAGGTAGGTATATGTGGCATTTTACTATACATATATTGGTATATAGTTCATATACTTTCTATACCCTCCGATGCTTGGTACAATTTCCCAGAGGAGCAGTACCAGTTACATCCAGCCCAACAAGCCTACGCTGTATTCCTTTAGACTATAGACATCGTCCACACTGTGACTTTCCCTTTGCTACTCTTGCTGTGCCTACCTACCTATGCCTACCTGCTTTTTTCAACCTACCTGTCTACCTACAGGTGCTGAGTGACACCACTCCGGGCGAAACCATTGATCCGCTCATTACTTACGGGCGCATTGTGGCCCCTCGCGCACCCGCCGATCTCGCGCGAGCACAACTGGAGGTATGCGGCGGGAGTACTTTTGGAATGTGTGGAGCAAGTTGTGGTCTACGCAACATGACTTTTCACACATGCGAATGGACGCACGCGTACGGATATCTTAAGATTGTAATAGTGAATGTTATGTGTGATGTGATAGTGTTTGCTATGTATGATGTATTAGTGTGGTGTTCAGTTTCCATGGCTACAACCCGGAGCAGAAGAGCACTATGAGAGCACACGTGGTGCTACAATCGCAATATGTGCGCGATATTGGCGGTACATGTGTGTGTCTCAGATGTGCATACGGCAGTTACCAGCTGTGCATAAATGACAGTCAGAGGTACACCAACATGAGCTAGAGCATGCGTAGGAAACCTGTTGCCCTGACAACGCATCACTTCTCTTCTCGTGACAACATGTAGCGACACTGTATATAAATATAAAGGACGGATTTAGGAAGTATGTACTTATTAATGTCTTTTTATGTATGTGTACCTGGTCCAAAGAATATATTTATTGGTGTCTTACTATGTACCTGGTATGTGCACCTTGTCCAGATTATGGGACTGTTGGATGGTGTGGAACGAATTGTGGACCCAAAGTACACGGACGACGATGTCAAGCTGGAGGACATCCGACACGACCACTCACAACTACTAGGCCGATTAATGGACCCCCGAATCAAGGCCAAAAGGCGGCGCCTGGGGCTGCTACTGCGATCGCGCGTATTCAGGTGACGATGCATTTGATGTTGATGTGTATGTGTGTTCCTGTGGGTGGGTGGTATGTGGTGAGCGAGGGTGTATTAGACTTCCAGGAGATATGTGAACATCTCCAGTACACAGGCACTTGTACTATCTACACTACGCATTGTCTGCCCCTATTTCAGGTCTGTTAGTAGCCTGTGTGTCCCTCTTAGTCTCCCACCGGTCATGGCTCATCCATCCATCCTTCCACACACACCATGTCTACTGTATGCCACACACAATCTTCCATCTTATTCACACGCACCTCCATCTTACACGCACACCTTCCAACTTATACACACATATCTCCTGTATGATACACACAATCTTTCATCTTACTCACACATGTCTCCTATATAACACTCACATCTTCTCTCGTTCTCACTTTCCTATTCCGCGTATGTACCTTTTACCTTCGCCTGCAGAGTGTTCCCCATCTCTCGGTACTTGCGTGAGCACGAGCAGCAGATCTGGATCTCTGCGCTGCAGTGTCAGCATTGGGATCTGTGGCAAATGGTGCAGCGCTTTGTGATGCCCCGAAGGCGTGACCCCAACCGACCGCAGGAGATGCTCGAAGACGGCGAAGATGATATCAGGGACGACGATTTGTCAGGTGAGGATATGTATCTATATATATATATAAATATAAATTGTATATGTATGTATGTATATATATATATACATACTTGTATACTTGTATACATATGTGTGCACAATGATTCTGTACCTGTTTTGTATTCGCGTATATAGTTTTCTTCCTCTTTATCGTCCGCCGGAGTTGCTGAACGGCAGTGATGACAATATGAGACACTTTCAGTGAACTGTACACACAGTTTCTGAGCCCCACTCTGTACTCTCGCCCGATGCTATCACCCGGTACCATACCATCTCTCTAATTACTTTGGCTGCTATATATATATATATATATATATATTCTCCTCTCCCCCACAACCTAGTCTCATTGGCTGATATTTATCCCCAGGTGGTCTCATGGCCTTCACCCACGCCACCGCGGCACTGGCGCCCAAGGTGCAGGAGATACGCACAGAGATCCGGTCAGAAAGTACCGAACCTCTAAACCCCCCAGCGGAAGCCGTAGCCCCATCCTCTACGCCGCCTAAGGTGGCTGCACGCCCACAGTTTCTGCTGGCAGATGCCGACGAAAAGGACCGCGAGGGCATGAAGGTGTGCATGTGCATGTGTTGTTACGTATGCATGTGCATGTGTGTTGTTATGTATGCATGTGTATGTGTGTTGTTATGTATGCATGTGCATGTGTTTTTACGTATGCATGTGCATGTGTGTTGTTATTTATGCATGTGCATGTGTGTTGTTATTTATGCATGTGTATGTGTGTTGTTATGTATGCATGTGCAAGTGTTGGGGGTTGTGTGTTGTTTTGTATGCATGTGCGTGTCCTGGCGTACCCCCTATAGCCACACACCCCACACCCGCACCACGCTTAGCACATATCTATCCCATACACTCAACGTTATTGGACTGTTCTTACATCATGGCCCAGTGTACGCTTAACGTAACAATCTCTCATTGCGCTGTATGTGTTAACTAACTTTAGCATCCGCATGTGCGTGTCACCAAACCACAGACTATACAACTGCCCGAGTTGAAGGCCATGAGCAACAACGCAGACACCTCCGAACGCTCGGAAGTCGCGAGAGATGACGGTGAGTCGTTGTTTGTTGTTGTTGTTTTTTTTCGCTTTGATTGGTGGAATATGTTCTTTTAGTACCGGCTACTCTCTGAGATCGTATAGTATTTGTGATTGTAGTTGAAATGGAGCAATGCGATTGGTGGATGTGTTGCGTATGATACTCGATAGTTTGTTTTACCTCGGCATATGTGGTGTGTGAATGTGCCTACCCCTTCGTTACGTACATGCATATGTATACATTTACGTTTGATGCAGTGTTTTGTCGGTTATCTTTTTCAGATACTCCACATAATCGTACAAGTGCCAACATGTCTCTGTTTCAGTCTGTGTCAATGCTATGAATTCAGCCTCAGTTTGTCGTTGCGCATGGTACACTGTTTTTGTCTTTAGTCTTATTAACTGAATTACTACATCCGCGTATGTTCATGTCCATTGAGTGAATATTGCATATGTAAGACCTGCATCACACCTACAGATATAAAATCTACATCACACATACAGATATAAAACCTACATCACACATACGGGTATAAAACCTACATCACACACATTAAGATACTAAACACATACCACACACCTTATGCCACCTTACAGATGACGAGGATGTCTTCTTTAGAAACCTGCCACCCACGCCAGAGACTTCGAATCCCACCAAGGGCTCTTTTGGCGCTGGAGATTATGGACAAACTGAGTCCAATTTGGAGATCGTGGTGCCTGACAGTCAGAAGAACATTCTGGGCGATAGATACGGCCCTATCCCCGTGCGCCGCAATACAGCCGTGTTGGTATGTATTGAGGAGCACGGTACGCTAGCGTGTGTTTGTGTACGTGCATGTGTGAGCATAGACTTGGGTGTGGGTGTCTATGAGCATAAACTTGGGTGTGTGTGAGTGTGTACTTTTATGAGTTGCTATTCCGCTCACTTGTTGCTTCTTTATTATGGATCGATATTGGTGGAATTAAAAAGCCGTACTCTATACATACAAGAAACCAGGTTTATTCACACACTCGCATACCTTCTCCTTCGCGACTTAACCGACAGACGGTAACGGATGTTTCGATGAGCGAAGATGGGGAGGACCAAGTAACGCGCCCGCCAAAGATCGGAGCACCCGTTCTACCTACCGGAGATGCGGAATTGGTTGGAGATGTCGACGCAGCACTCTCTGTGGAAAGGCAGAACACCATCATCCAGGCCAAGCAACCTGAGGACGTGTCAGCGCAATTAGGTACGGATATACATATATATATATATATATACATATATATATGCGTGTGGGAGGGGGGGATTAGTTGTTCTAGTATTCATACACTTTAACCCTTTGCGACTTCGATTGTTCTAGTATGCATACATATTACACTTTGTGACTTCAATTGTTTGAAACGGCATGTTTTTTAATCCGTTGCAACTTTTAAATATCTTCTGCACTCCCAGGAAACATTGTGGAACGACATCGTCGGCGTAAAACAATCACAGATGTCCAGGGCAGAACCAAGCGAGAGCAGTCATTGGTGGCCAAGACACTCAAGCGAAATGCGGAACACCAAACACCCTTGGCTATGACGGTATGCTTAGTTCGTTAATGTTTGATTAGTGGGTGACTCTGTATGTGCATCTAGTCAGTTCACTTGCGGGCCTACTACAACAGATACTGGAGAAGTATGCGTGTTGCTACTTGTATTGTTTCTTGGTAATCGCATTCTCGCTCAATTGTTTGATCTTGTACGGTATATTCTGCGTATTCGTTCACAAGAAAATCTGAGCCGTGCACACTTCTGCATTGAGAAATATATGTGCCCGTCTCATGCAACACGCACCACCAAATCTTCTAAAAGACCATCACGTATCTCACATTGTGACAGTGTAGAATATACACACGATACTCATCGTATAGTGTTCTGTACACGTGCGCCTTCACGTCTAAATCAACTACTGGTGTGTTACGTTGCAGCTGCGTGAGAAGATACAAAGAGACGAAGAGAAGGCACACCGTAGAGAAAACAAATCGGGTGAAAACCTGCACATTACTCGCACGCAAAGTCTTGCGCACGAGCCCGCGACTTCCAGGTCTAGCGATCCCGAACGACAGCCAATACCTCCCCGCGACTACGCAAAGGACACTCTACACAGGCACAGGTAAGTGCGTTGCTAATTTATATTCGTGACACTTTTGAGCGTACGGCATAGGTGTATATATGTATATATTAATACTTAATAATTATGTATATGTAGTATATGTGTATGTGGTTATGGGTTTTAAGAATTAGGTATAGGTATAGGTATGTTTGTATGTGTGTGTACTTGTATGTACATGTGCTTGTGTATGTATGTAAGTGTATATATATATATATATATATATACGTATATACGTATATACGTATATACGTATACATATATATATACTCAGTGTGTATGAGTCCAGGTTCTTATAGTCTGGGAATTAGTGGTAATCTCTTCTTCTCGCAGTGTTCGCCACAACGCAAAGGAAACATTGTGCAGGCATATTAGTCAGGGGTTCATAAACATATGTAATCATGTTTCTTGTTTTATATGTCCAAGGTTGCAATGATCTAGGGAGTTACTTTTAGCCGCGCTATAAAAATATAACAAGAACATCCTTCCTCCTTCCCCTTCCCACAAGTGTCCATATAGGTGAGTGAAAATATATTCATTCTTAAATACAAGCTCATGAGTTAGTCACGCTTATATTCTGAATGACTATGTGGTTGTAGCTAATTAAATAGATGATTGGAAATACTAATTGGCAAGTATTAACAAGACACACGAAGTGATATACCGTGTTCAATTTACAATTGTTAGTATCAGTGTGCTTGTAGAGATCCACTGTTGCCTGGTATTAGTACTACACTGCAATGGATTCCATCGCTTTCTCACCTAACCAAATCCTCAATTTGACCACATCCACATCACAGACAGGACGATGCAAAAAAATAGGCGGCATGCGGACAACGATCATATGCTATAGAGAGTTTAGAGACGACTGCATATAAATAAGACTGCAGTTGTGATGGAATGCAGAGCGATATGTGATTGAAAATATATCTGTATGCCGTGGCTCCCGTGTTGTGCCGTACATGTGTGTGCTCGGGTTCGTGGCGGAGACCAGTACAGTGGAGATCCGAGGCGATGTGAATTTAGTTTTTTGGATTTAAGGATCGAAACGATATGAATTACTTTTATGTATGATAGAAAGGATAATGCAAAGGCATTCAGATCTTCTGTGCTGCAACGGCTTCACCAACCACGCAACACGCTTCGCAGAAAATTGGATGCGCAGTATACTTTTAATTTAATAAACTTATAGCACGACAGGCAGTGAGCTCTGTCCATTTTGATTTGTTACGGCTTCATCAAACGCTCAGTACTTGGCCGAAGCTCGGCATTAGGGTTTATTAAATTCTGTAGTACCGCGGGTTGAATCTTCTATATTTTTCAGGCGCATTTCCCCATAAATTATATATTCAGTTTTTAATTTGTTGAAATGTCTATAATAACATATTAGAGGAACCTGTCCTGGTCCTGGGATTTTACACCTCACAAACATCTAATCTCGAATTTGATTCTTATGGCACGATGTATAAGTACGTGTGTACAGTGTAAATGTTTTAATATGTTCAACAACATGTTTTTGTATATGAACAATGTATTTACCTATGCACGAAATGCATGACAACTTATAATACTAACATACAGAATGTTCAACTTCCGGAACAGTATTTTGCAATTGTGAATTTTATTGTCTTCTCAGTATGTAGTGCGCTGTAATCGAAGGCATAGCATTTCCGTTGATATTGGTGTCGGCACTTCACATCCTCGGTAATATAAACATGATATACAGTGAATATCTTTTGATTGTCTCGTTCTTGGAAAGTGAATTTGCAACCAGTTATTTGACTACATCGTACTAATTTTAACAAATTCTCTGTGGTTGCGAATGACGTCATGCTCTATACGGGATCGGTCGAACGTATGACGTTCCACATGTCTGTTTCCTTGATATCGTAATATATAGGAAAATCACAAATGCACTAGTATACATATAAACTCATGCTTCTGTTTGAAGGAATCTTTTTGTTTGCTTTTAAATTTCACCAATCTCTCTCTCACACTCTTTCGAATTGAAGACGATAATGTAGTAAAATGTATGATAAAGCTCTTCAGTCGAGATACGACAATACAACAGGAATTAAATCGATTCTACTTTTATACATACAATAAAACTCATAAATCGCATTTAGCAAGAGCAGCTTTCCGAGACCAACACAGTGCATCTTTTACAAATGGATTAGAACTGATAGCCTTGGTCTATTTGCCTTGAATATTACTCGGTACTTATGATCTTTCAAAAACAGCATTCATTTCCATCACTACTTGCAATGAATGTAAAATAATATTAAGATTAGTAACTTTATGAAATATAAATACGAATCTAATTCCAGATATGTATTTCAAATTAAATCGTCGCTAATCCAATTCTTTTTGTACACAAAATGATTATCGTCAAATCTGAGCCTCAGTCCGTTTGTAAGATTTGCAGAAAGTCATGTTCGCACATGATTGAAACTAGTGCTCTTGCTATGGTTGCCGCTGGTGTTTGTTCCATCATTGACCTGAGTATAATATTGCACATTATGAGTATATGTCTAGCCAAACGAGGATGAACGTGATATTTCTACTCGAGTCTAGCAATGGACCTATTGTATCTAGTTGAATCTATCGCCGGGGAAACAGTTGGTATTGATTGTAATCCGGTGAAAATCCTTTTTTGAATTTTGTTCATTTTGACTACATTTCAACTTTGTTTTTACTCCTCGAAGTAAGGATATGATCATATGTTAGTATTTAGGATCAGTTCAATAAATGCACAACGCCCCCTTTGTACGAGGAGAGTACGCTAAGATACAGTTATCTTTATATACGTCTTATTACAGTTGCCTACGTGCACTTTCTGTCGTTGTGGGTTTGCTTTTTTTTTTTATCAACTGCGTAGCGCCCCACTGAATGGTATTGCGCTATAATGGTAGCATTGTCGTCGTGTGTGACTATGTCTAACTCTGCTGATTAGTCGGTGGTTTGTACCGCCGAGATTTTTATGGCTGGATGTGCTAGTCATTTTGTCAAAGTATAGTGACTTTGTGCCTGTTTTGGCGACTAACGTGATACCCCACAGTGGTTTTCTGTTGTTCCTGTTTTCCGCTAGCGTGGGATTTTTCTCGAGTACTGATGAGGATTTCTGGAATTATCTCCCCAAGATAGATTTGCCCACGCATGTATTCTATCTGCACATTTTTGGAGTAGTGCACTTTGTTCCTTGGTATAGAACTTTGCTATTTTTGCATTATGCGCAGCCTCAAATAAATCGACTGTGAATTTCTCAAACCTACGTTCCGCTTTTTTCTTGAAATCTTGTATGTACTTACCAGTCTATGGCCGATATCAGTATGAGCATGTTCGTTTAAAGCGTTCATATTCATGACCGTTGTGTGTGTTCTTGTTAGCTCCTTTCAATATATTTGATGTTTTGATATTGAAAATATCTTCGTAAAATCCTGATGCATGATTTGTATGTCTTTGACTGGTACCTGGATAATCGTGAAGTGGAGGGTGGAATGTTTTTGATACCCACTTTGCTAGCATAGGGAGCTAGACCCAGGCGTCAAGAGTATGGAATCTTGGCTTCTGCAACCTTTTTAAATATTTCAGATGGTGTTAGCGTGTGATGTGGGGGACTATAAGTAAAGTGCAAATGTATCCAAAATATAGTGCGTTCGAATGTATTTATTTATGACAATCTCACCCTCAGTTATATACTGATGGTGTTGTACTAGTGTTCAACCACTTGGGTTGGCCAGGGTGAAAACTCATATGATCAGTATGAGAAACCTTATGCAGAACACTTTAGCACTCGAATATATTTTCCAGAAATAAATATATCATATTCTCTGTTATTACACTCAGTCTCGGACCTCGGCTCTCAGCTAGCCGGTGGCTCGTGTCCTATAAATAGAATAATCTGAGAAGAAGTCTCAAATTACTCTTACGTTCTCTCGGACTGACCCATCTATACGTATATTAATTTGAGAACAAGTCCCAAATTACTCTCGGGCTGACGACGTAAAACGGTATTAACGTATTTAGAAATACGTCTACTTCTGTAGTCTCTCAGATGGTGTCCACTTGGTTCTTCTAACTGGACCTACTCGACAAATCATAATATGTAGCCAAGGCGTCTTCTAAACTGCAAGAGTACCCTAGTATATGAACGTATCTACCTCTCTCAGATGGATCGGTTCGCAATAAATCATTGAAATAAATTTGCTGAGCCACTTGATGTTAGCCTCATGTATATGAACATCATTTAGCAACTGTGGTATTGACAACCGCGGTGGATTTGCCCATAACAGCTGCGCAAAATGTTGAGCTGCATATATATATCTCTCTCTATGGTATCTGGGCCATATATATTGTCTGCGGTCTCAAACCATCTAGAGCTGGCTTTCCAATCGGTAGCTAGTAACTCGCGTACCATCTTTTTCAAGTCCAATATAAAGTGTGACAACATGTAGAGTGTAGAGAGTAGCTGAAAGGTACGACTGAAGGAAACAATAGACCTTTTCTCGAAGACGGTTATCTCAGCTAGGAAAAGTCCCTGGTCTGAGAGAGCCGAATTGAATCTCTATTTGTGTTTTCTAATTCACTAGGATCAGGTTTATACTTGAGTGTTTCTCTCACACGCGGGGTCCCGATTTTTCTTACCGGTTCTACCGCTAATATTTCTGATGACTCTAATATCAGAAATACTTAGACCCGGGTCCAAAACTCAGTGTTTGATTATTCTGTGGTTTTGAGCTTTGTATTGGCTTTTTGATAATTTGGTCCCTGGATGCTACGAACATATCCGCAGTAAGTGAATGTGTTTCACAGGCGTATGTGATTTTTCAAAAGAAAATTTCGAGATCGTATCATGCCACATACTGATTATCCATCTGTGAGTTTCGTTCTATTTCTAAAGGTGTTGCAATACATCGTTATTGTTGCACAGTTGGGTAATTGATTTGTGATGAGTTCACATGGCTCTGCTAAAGAACTGCACATATCTTGATTTCCCATCTATCATTTGAAACGGTACACCTCTGATTGCCATGTCCGAGGCGTCTGTTGCTATCATGAACGGAACACCGGCTCTTGGTGGCTGAACTACCGGGGGTTGAACCGCCATTTTGAGCTGCTTAAAAACATCATGACAGGGTTTGTTCCATAAAACTCATGATTTACCTTTGTGACATCTTAATCCGACAAGAAGTTGACAAAACCGCACATGCTGTTCACATCCTTTCCTTTTGAGAGACAACAGGTCACAGACCAGATTTTACAGCAAGAACCCCTCTTTGATGTATAGTAGTCATCGGAGTTTGCTCACTCCTGAGAACTAATCAAGTTGCTTAAATTACTCCCGAGTGTTGAGTTAATACTTAACCGACTCCCGAGAGCAGATTAGGTTTCTCAACCAACTCCCGAGATTCAAGTCTGTCAACCGCAACATTTTAAAAAAGAGCTGCGCTTCTATGTGAGTCACAGTCTATACGGAAAGGCATCATGTGATCAGCGTGAGATTTAGTTGCAGAGAAGTCGAAATAGAATAGCATCGAAGTGTTAAAGTGTTCTGTAGAAGATTCCTCATACTGACCATATGAGTTTTTACCCTGGCCAGCCCAAGTGGCTGTACACTAGCAAAAATACTTAAATATGAAACCAAAGGTGAGGTCAGAGATAAATACATACATTTGCACTTTATTCAAAGTTTACTCCATTGTACTCTAAAAGAAAGTATTAGTTTGCTGGGTTACTTCATAGTCCGACACTAGAATTGAAATTCCTGCAATATTTCTCTTAGGTATTGTCGTTGATTAAGACGTACTTTTTCAGGGTGTGTTTCCACATCGCACTTGGGAAACCACGAAGGTGTGCCCATGTCGACAGTATTCCATTCGCCTTTCATTGCATCAGCTAGTTTCTGTCCGTCAGTCCTACTCTGGCATGCTGCAATTTTGTCATCTACATGTACAATAATGAAATACAGTCCACTGTGGGTTTGTTCAATGAACAGCACTCCTTCCAATTGTGCTTGTTTATATTGGTGGAGTATAGCAAACGAAGAATAGATTTAAACCAGTTGTGCCCGCTAGGTGGTAGGCCGTAAACGTAACGGCCAGCTCGACATACGACCTTTGTGTCTCCTTGTTTGTGCCTTTCGTATAGTTGTCTCTGGGGCGGATCAAGTGGCTGTTTAAAAAAGTCATATCCTTGCGGTACTCGCATATAGCTAAGGGTACTCGCATATAGCTAAGGGTACTCGCATATAGCTAAGGGTACTCGCATATAGCTAAGGGTACTCGCATATAGCTAAGGGTACTCGCATATAGCTATGGGTATTCGTATATAGCTAAGGGTATTCAGTTCTTGAGCAATGTAGGCCGAGGATGTACCGTATTGTCGAATGTCCATGTCGTAATGTGCCATTAGAGCTAGACAGATCCTGAGTGTTTCCTTGGCTAATACTGGGGCATAGCTTTCATCATAATCGACGCCCCGTTTTGCGTTGAACGCTGCTACGTTCAGACGTGATTTAAGTCGTGGGACTTGTCCTGATTCATCCGTTTTTGCCTTGAATACCCATCGAGGGGGTGTGATTTTTCCCGCGGTTTGTTGTCAATCAGAGTGAATGCCTTCCGCTGTATCACCAATCTCTTCATCTCTGAACGTGCTGATTCCTCCCAGTGGGCTGCATTTGGCATCTCATAACATAAGGTTTCTCATACTGATCATATGAGTTTTTACCCTGGCCAACCCAAGTGGTTAAACACTAGTACAAACACCATCAGTATATAACTGAGGGTGAGATCATGAATAAATTCATTCGAACGCACCATTCTTTAGATATTTTTGTACTTTACTTTTTGTCCTGTTAGAGTACAATGTCGTTGACTTTAAATAAAGTGCAAATGTATGTATTAATTTCTGACCTCACCTTTGGTTTTATACCTAAGGTGTTTGTGCAAGTGTACAGCCACTTGGGCTGGCCAGGGTAAAACCCCATATGGTCAGTATGAGAAACCTTATGCAGAACACTTTAACACTTCGATGCTATTCTAATTCACTTTCTCTGCAAGTAAATTTCACGCTGATCACATGGTGCCTTTTCGCATAGATTGTGAGTCACATAGACCCGCAGCTATTTTTAGAATGTTGCGGTTGACAGACTTAATCCACTCTCGGGAATCGGTTGAGAAACTTAATCTGCTCTCGGAAGTCGGTTGAGTAATAACTCAGCTCTTGGGAGTAATTTAAGCACCTTGATTTGCTCTTGGGAGTGAGCTAACTCTGATGACTTCTACAAATCCAAGAGGGTTTCTTGCTGTAAAATCTGGCCTGGGACCTGTAGTCTCTCACTCTCCCTCAATTTTACAGTCTAAAGGGCTGAAGTCTGAAAGGCTGAAAATTGATAACTGAAGACTAATGAAGGCTGAAGACTAAAGACCGGGATTGTGAAATTGTTGACTCTGTAGATGGATTAGGCGATAAGCGTTGAACCAATGTATATATGTCGGAGACGTTTACGAATTGGTGCTGTTGAGTATGGTTTCGATGCAAATTGTTAAAAACGTTGACTTTTCTGAATAGTAGACGATCCTCTGTACAGTGACAGGCATCACGACGGGCGTGGATAATCTTCTGTGGGACAGGCATCACAATTTCGCAGATAAAAATACCCGAGATTTTCTTGAAAAATAAATTTTGCTTACTGAATCGGTGTGGACTGTGGCGTGGATGTTGGGGGACACACAGCTCTGCGTTGTGGCATATTGGTTTGACTTTGGGATGTGGCCTGAAAGGCTGAGACTCAGAGACCGTGAGGCTGAGATTTTCTCTTGGGTCTTGGAATGCGCGGCTCTTATGCTGTGGTCCGGCTGCTATCCTTAGTATGGTTGCTTTTTTTTAAAAGTTATAATTTTGATTAAATTGACCAACGAAATTCGTGTAGTGATAAATTCTACCCATTGAAAACAAAAATTCAGGCCGCAGTGGTCAAAAAGATACTTTTTTTTTGTTTACGGTTAGTACTCACAATGCATAGTGGGGGCGCTGGGGTAGAGAAAGTGTGGGGTTGTGGGCCCTGTAGGGGCCTGTGGGCTGCGGAATTTACAATTTTGTATGTATCCTTTCAGGATAAACTCATATTCCCTCCACTAGGAGGTTAAACATGGTTTTACCTGTTCATGAGTACCCTATATTAGGATTTTTGTCATACGCCATGTGACAATATGAACATGGCCGTACTGAGCATTTCAGTATAATAGGAACTTACACTTTTGTAAATAAACAGTCTTTGTGAAAGTACTTAGAATAAGTCCCTATAGGTTATGGGCAAATAATTAGTGAGACTACTAATATTTTAAGCATCTACCAACATGCTTTCCAACTCACCAACCAAATCCTCTGCGATCGCTTGGTCGATCTTATTGAAAGATGGCTCCAATCTCGACCACTGGCTCTCTGATCTGGATATGGCTGCTACATCTATCTCATCTAAGGACTTAACTACTATCCTCTACCATACTGAAACCCCTGAACTCGCCACCAATCTCAAAGATTTCTATTCTGATGTCATGAAAACTCCGCGGACAACCTGGACCCCGCTCAAAAGGCCACCATCACCGAAGGAGATTACGTCAGCAACACTAAGGAATCTGGTGATTACCATGCCGCCAAACATCTCATTGTGGCAACTATCGCAATTGAACTACGTCTAAAGCTAGCTCCTACTATCAAGGCAGTCCACCCTTGGACACTACTCCAAATACTCAAGCGTCGCTTCAAACACCGATCTAGAACCTCCAGCGACATCATCGACGCCGCCTACTTACGTACTTTGTCTCGACTCCCATCCGAAACACCATGTGTCTAATCTCATCGCATCGAGGACATCCTACTCAGGGTTAAACTCCAAGATACGACATTCTCCCCCAGTGTTGCACAATATTGACGGCTTATCTGACGCCGACAAACACCAGATCTTGAATATCTACCTTATGTCCCTAAAATCCCGAGACACTGTAACGATATACCACATGGTAGACTACCTAGAACGTCTCCATAAGTCTCTGATTCCTGCGCCAGCTAATGCCTCCCTTATCACTCCTAGTGTGGCTCAAGTCGCTCCAGCACCACAACCCACCATGCAAGAGGTTGTGCGTCTACTTACAGTGTTAACTACTAGCACTAAGGCTCCTCGTGACCGCCGTATGATGAAATGCTATGTGTGCCAGAAAACCACACATACATTCTCGGTCTGTACTAAAGCTTGCGGAGAATGTGGCCTCACTACCCACACTGGCCGCGAATGTACCACAACTAACTTACAATGTTCTGTCTGTAACCTCACTGGGTATGTAGACGTCGTGTGCAGCAAACGTTCGAATAAAAACAATTTCCCTTACACAGCACCCTTTATTGCCAAAATTACTATACCTACTATATTCCGAGCTACCCAACCCACTACTAACAACCAGTCGCTTCTCATCGACGGGGGGAGGGGCTACCGTCAACTACATGCACACCTCAGCTCGTCACCTCGTCACTAACGTCGAAACAGGAAGGGTTTTAAACCCTAAAACCCTAAACCCTTCCCACTCCAGCTCGCTGATAATGGCCTCAAACCCATTTACGCCCGAGGCACACTCCCACAGTTTGGCCTCACCTACCTGGACCCTGATCTAGTCCAGCCCCTCATCGCACAAAATCACATACAGGATGCTGGGTTTACCATTCAATATCCAGCAACACAGCCTCAGTGTCTTCTCTCATACCACACATACCACTTCACTATCCCTCGAATCAACGGTGTTTATTATGTCAACTACGACATACTTAAGCAGATGTTCACACTTACACCGCAGGTCGCCACAACACAGCCACACATCCCTACAACTACGCCGCCTGTGACCCCTCCCTCACCTCCTACTGACGGACATCCCGCAGACCCTGAACCCCATAGCACTTGGCCAACAACTATGACTTATGACGCCTACCACCGAAGCACTGGCCACCGCAGTAAGCGTACTACCATCCGTATGGCTAAACGCGACGGTATTACACTCACTCTTCCTCCCCCTCTCTACGTCAATACCGAGGCTTAGATGTTCAGCAAAATTCTACTAGTCAAGGCCTTGGATCTTCTCGGTGTCAAACCTACGATTGATATCTGCGCCTCTAAGACCAACGCGCAGTTTTCACGCTTCATTTCCCCCGAAGCGGCGAAGCACGTGACTGGTCTCATGCGGATCTGCGGAAGGAACTCGCCTACGCCTGTGCTCCTTGGTCCCTGATTAATGCTATAATCGCGGCAAACACCCGCGCTGGCAGCCGCATGGTAGTTGTTGTCCCACTCAGGCCGTGTGCCAAGTGATGGCCAGCTTTTCTCGCTCACCTCCAATCCCAACCGTTTATAGTTCAGAACACTTCCACTACTTTTGCCCGACATGGTACTGCCACTGTAGGCAAACCCTCCTGGGTCTTCACTCTAGTGACTCTCATCGGCCCTCTACACTCACACGTCACGCCAGGGCCCGATCTCACAACTGTCATTAACTATGTTAAACTCCACCCGGAATTCCCCAAGAACTGTATCACCTGCCTCGATGGAAAAATCCGGGCCAAGGACGTCTCCCGTTCTTTGACTGACACAGTTTACGGACCGGGCGAACGTCTACATACAGATATTCAAGGCCCCTTCCCACTGGGCCGCTATGGCACCAGTCACGTTCTGAATATGTTTGATGCTAACTCTCGATATGGCCTCCACTCACTCCTTCCCGACAGACAAAACATGACCCACAAGGTCAAAGCACTCCTTACCGCCGTCCCCGCTACATGGGTTCCGGACACAATAGTCGTCGACAATGCCCTTGAGTTCCCCAGCAAGGCGATGAAAGCCATGCTGATTGATCGACACATACTTCTTCGACGACCCCCCCCCCACTTATTCACCCGCTCAAAACGCCAAAGTGAAGTGACCTCACGACACCTCTTGCGCAGCGCAGACATACCTCTCCCTTGTTGGGAAGACGCTAAGAGAGAAGCAGATGAACTTTTTGTTAGAGGGCAATGTAGTAGACTTTAAATAAAGTGCAAATGTATGTATATATTTCTGACCTCGCCTTTGGTTTTATACTTAAGGTGTTTGTGCTAGTGTTCAGCCGCTTGGGCTGGCCAGGGTGAAACTCATATGGACAGTATGAGAAACCTTATGCAGAACACTTTAACACTTCGATGCTTTTCTATTTCGACTTCTCTGCAACAAAATCTCACGCTGATCACATGATACCTTTCGGCATAGGTTGTGACTCACATAGAACTGCAGCTATTTTTAGAATGTTGCGGTTGGCCCACAGACTTAATCCACTCTCGGGATGAGAGACTACAGTAGTATTTCTATATACGTTAATAACGTTGTACTTCGTCAGCCCGAGAGTAATTTGGGACTTGTTCTCAAATTAATATAAGTATAGGTGGGTCCGCCCGAGAGAACGTAAGAGTAATTTGAGACTTCTTCTCAGATTGTTCTATTTATAGAATACGTGCCACCGGCTAGCCGAGAGCCGAGGTCCGAGACTGAGTGTAGTAACAGAGAATAGGATATATTTATTTCTAGAAGATATTTCCTAGTGCTAAAGTGTTCTGCATAAGGTTTCTCATACCGATCATATGAGTTTTTACCCTGGCCAATCCAAGTGGTTGAACACTAGAACAAACACCATCAGTATATAACTGAGGGTGAGATCATAAATAAATACATTCGAATGCACCATACTTTACATACACTAGCACTTTTCTATTAGTCCCCCACACCTCACGCAAACAACTTATCAGGTCCCGCTAACACGAGAGCTGGTTGAGAGACCTAATCTGCTCTCGCGAGTCGATTAAGTTTTCACTCAACTCTCGAGAGTAATTCAAGCAACTTGATTAGCTCTCGGGAGTGAGCTAACTCTAATGACTTAGATCTCGGGAGTGAGCTATCTCTGATCCCTTCCATAAATCAAAGAGGGTTTCTTGCTCTAAAATCTGGCCTGAGACCTGTAGTCTCTCAAATACTTTTGTCACACCTCAATGTAAGTACAGATATATACTTGAAATTTATTAATTGCAATATAACAAAGAAGGTGTGGTGAGCTGTTCGGTCCCAACGGAACGTCTACCCCGTAGGTGTTACATTGTACGCTTGACTGTTTCAATCTTACGCCTAACACGTGTTTTGTATCTCAAGCTGTTGCAGATGGCGCACACACTTTGTGTCACACCTCAATGTAAGTTATAGATATATAGTTGAAATTTGATATTTGCAATATAACAGAGAAGGTGTTGATTGGTATCAAAGTCGCGACGTGACCCTTGAGAAATGAACCCCGTGGGTTGATCGACAGTGCCTGCGATTTACTTCGTTCGAAGATTTTCTTGTCTTCTATACCGTCGTCGGCCGGAGGTTCGAGTAAAGCTTTGGAGTTCTAACATTGACAAGGATGAGTTCGTTCTGCCTACTCGAGCAAGTCTCTGATCTCAGGATCGAATCTGTCCTTCAGTTGATACAAATTCTTGACAAGATTCGCGAAAGCACCGCCACTTGTTACTCAGATGTACTTGAATCGAGCAACTTGAGAGAAATCTACTAGGAGGTCCACAGAACTACTGTCAAGCAGAGTAGCGTGCCATGCCTCGAAGTTGTTAAATCGTAAGGCTGTTTGGAATAGAACGGCAGTTCGGAATAGAAAGGCAGTTTGGAAATACTACAGGAGTGAACATATTCCTAAATACGTTAACAACGTTTTACGCCGTCAGCCCGATCGTAATTTGAGACTTGTTCTCAAATTAATATATGTATAGGTGGGTCAGCCCGAGAGGACGTAAGAGTAATTTGAGCGACCACGTGTGCGAAACTAGACAGATGTTCGTGAAAGAAGTTTGCTAAACCTAGCGCTGAAGCGATGTATTTGCACCGGTGAGGTGTTGTTGAATCAAGGTGTTGTTGAATAAGGCTTCGACTTTAAGAATTGAGGTGTTTAGCCTTATTCTAAAGTCGAAGCAATTTCTTTCGCTGAAATCTTCTTGCCCAAGATCATGACCTCAGCAATTGCAAAGTGACACTTTGCTGGGTTCAGTTTGAAACTATGGTATAACAGTTGCTTGATGACCTCCTGCACTGTGGCGATCTGTTCTTTATTTTTGTCACTGGCCATCACTATATTATCAATGTAGTGATGTACGGGTGACCCCTCTAGTATCGTACTCTGCGTGCGTTGTAATTGCTGAGTCAGTACGTACAGTCCAAAAGGTAAGGAGGTGAACGAGCGCTTATATCAATCGTGTGCAAGGCTGAAGAGATATCTGAATTGGGATGTATCAGTAGCACATGATATGCTGCTTGTATGTCTAGTGTCGTGCAATACTTCCTACTCTTTAGCCTGGAAATACTTTCATTGACCTTCAGTATCAAGAAATGGTCGCGTGGTATGAGTGCGTTGACAGCCCTCGTGTCGAGATACACTCGAATTTTCTTTACTCTGCCCTCACTGCCGAAAGTCGGAACTGCCAACAGTGGTAGATTGACTGTCGTCAGTGTCGTGCGCTTCATGACCGCTAGATCCTTAATCCACTTCGGTACTTGTTCGTCAACGTACGGCAACCACCTTTCTGATACAAAGTTGCGCGTAGATCTTTTCATACTCAGGGCGTGTTCGCGTCTTTATAGTATAGCGACCTCACTCCCCAGTAAGTGGCAACGTGCATTGTTTACAATGGCGGCGTTTGCTTTTAGTACTGTAGCTAGACGTGCCCGCACCCCCTCGAGAAGGTGGTTGAGCTCCGTTGGGTCAATCGGAGCAAGTCGTGATTGTCACCCCCCGATGTATAAACCCAGATCGGTCATCATTGTATCTAAGCCTACTATAGTATCGATGCCGTTGGGCAAGTTCATCAACCGGAACGATCCGTTGTGACTGTCGTTCTCAGACGAAGAGTACATACGGCTTTATCCGCTAAGTATATAAACGAATCGAGTGGTGCAGCTGTATTGATGTTCGTGCGATGTGTTCCCGATGCAGCTGCGGTTTGCACATGTACCTACCAACCCTCGGAATGTACGCCCGTTGACTTGTATTTGGATGTACACACGGTTGTTGATTTTAGCCACCAATATCGCATTGAGTGGATGAGCAAGCGTAAGCGCTACATCATCATCGGACACCCTCATATTTCAGGGTTCCTCCGGTATCTGTGTCCAAGCTGACTGTGGTGTGGCCGAGTGTGGGTTTTCGGCGTGCTCATAGTCATCCGCAAGAATCGAGTTTATGCGTATCTCTGTTGCTGATGGTACCTCTTCATCGGTGTGTATGTGGCTATACTAACCTGCGGCGTTACAGCGTTGGAGGCCTTTGGCGGTTGTGAAGTGGTGGTGGTTGGTGAACGTGCCCCTGTTTCGGCGCTGCTCTCTGTACTGGTTGTGATTCACTGTGCTGACAGCTCGAGTCATACGTAGGTGTTCGATCGTCCTGTCACCCTGGTAGTACCGCCTTATAATATTGGCATCGTGGGATGGGGCGAAACTCGGGAGGCGTCTGTGATTGGCAGCCGTTGCACGTTGTTGGAGTAGCCGTCTTTGTTGGTCGATGTTGCTATTGTTACTGTTGGTGCTGTATACCGTGTGTGGGTTGGGATGGCTGTTCGTCGTGTCCCCGCGTGCTGTATTCGCATTGTGTTCCCTTCAATTTTTCAATCGCTGCGATGGTCGGATTTGTGCTTCCTGGAGGTCCAGACTCAACAATTGTAACAATTCATGCGTCTCCACCAATTGCCACTTCGGATGTAATTGAA